GTAAAAGCTCTTTGTTTCAATCAGATAACTCTACATTTTAAATCTCCTTTAAAATGAAAATTAGAAATGAGGCGAACTGGAATTTAATCAGGAAAGCCAAATCCATTATTACTGAATATGAATTCTTCTTACAGGAGCTAGGTTTCGTCAAGACAACTACTTAGTAAAATCGATGCTTAATACTTGTTCAACTTTTTCCTGCAGCTCACAACCTTACTTAGATCTCAAAGACCCTCGAGACTAAAGCGCAAGTTCATAAGGAGCTATTAGCTTTTGAGTGTAATGTTCCCGGGGTGGTTAACTCTCTTCCACGTTGAATACGGAAATGCTGCCGAAGGCTGAGGTAACGCATTTCCCAAACCAAAATTTGCATTTTAGGAAAAACTTGATCTAGCTTAAATAAAGAACGACTTAGGAACTGACCGAAATTAAGCTACCGATGATATTCATCTCGGTAATTAGGTTTTATGGCAGCGCGCACACAAATATAGCGCATGTTTATTCAAGTTTTTTTTCAAAAACTTTTTATCTTCTGCCGAAAAAAGTTAGCTGTCTTAACATTAGACGTTATGTTTTGTAAAGCAAAGGAATATTAAACTATAATTTTCTCTCTCCATGGATTGGAGGCGACAGACTTTGGCGCCTTGTGTTCGAACGTTTTTGATAGTTTGAAGTTTTCTGGCTGCATCCAATTTTGAGCGACAATCTCGAGATTGTTTCGATGCAAATTTCTTAGACATTACTTACATTTTCTGAGCCTATAATTTAATTAACAATTTAATCTAAAGAAAAGAGTGTCTTAAAGACAGCGTAGCACTAAGGCTTGATAACTATTTTTTAAAATTCTTTTTACAGGCGCCAGTATTAGCGACGCATATCTTAAAATGACTAACAATGAAAGTATAATAAAATAGTCATAGTCTATTTCATCTACACATACCACCTACATCCATGAATTGCAGATTCCGAAAAAGTCGGCCGGTTTTGTTGATGTCACAGCTGTTTATGGTCGTTTTGAAGATACAAATTCCACAATCATACCATACTTTGCCATACTATGTGACTTAAAAAGTTAACCTCTCGACAAATTCAGTGTCGAGACCTGAAACCAGTCGACATAGGTACCTTTACTGACTCAGGACATGAGTTGATGCGACTTCCAGAAGCAACACTCATACAATACGTGAAACGAACTCGTCTGTCCTTCTAATATGATGCGATTTTTTCAAACTACTTTGAGGTAGCTCGGAGATGAGTGGTTGTCTTCTGACATTTTTTCTTGGCAAACGTTAATTGCCGTAGTGATTAACTTGTTACAAAGGTTGAAAACTGTTTTACTAGTAAGGTGCATAGCAACTACCTAGCTCAACAATTTATTCCCCGAAGTCGGAGAAAGTTTGATATTGCATCGTTCAATTTTAGGTTGTTGTATTGTTAACAAGGCCAGCTACAAAGTTCCGTTTTCTTGCACTATTTGAACTCGAAGGAAATCTGTTTGGGCGTGGAGCTAATGACCGATTCAAGAGGCTCTGCAACATGGAAGGGCCTCCTAATGCGTGTAACAATTTGTTTCCTGGTGATTCGGGAAAAAAAAAAAGTGGAATAGACCCCTTTTATTCAAAATTTAGACAAGGAAAAGAAATCACACACAGCGGCCGATGTTTTGAAAGTGTACCGGAGTTTACTTGTCTTTCAAATTGTTCAGAATGAGGAATTTTTCTTTGGAAATGGCACTCGCAAAATTACACCTTCATTTGTCGCTGAATTTGTTTGCCTCTTTTTTTTTCTAACAACTGATATGAATAATCCAAAAATTATCGTAGCATACATCGTCCTGGTGTTTTGGCGGGATTCATCGCAGCGGGACAATGAAAGAAGTTACATAACTGTCGCTAGTTTGCTTAGGAAAAAGAAGAACGCGCTTAGCATGAATCAGTAATGAGGGATTATCATTTGAAGAACACAACAGTTGTTGTGATAGCGACAGAGATCAAATGATATTCAGTTGAAGAGAAAAAAATTTTACTTTGTCTTTGTGGGAGTAACAGGTGCCATTTCCAATTCTGTGATATTAATAGCAGACCGCATCATTGTCCAAGATCAAGGTGTTCGTGTTAGTCACATACATTCATATTAACAACTTTGCTTTCATAGCAGGTCAGCCACAGAAAAGCATGGGTATTGTAGTTTCTAACTCTCCTATCACGGTTGTTTAGACGTTGTAACTTTGTATGTCTCTTAAAAAGCAAGTTACATTATGATTTATTTGCATTTATTTCCCCTAGATTTAAGACTTCAAGTCTTCTGCAACTTATCTTGCTTTGCAATCAGTCGTGATGACCATTTGGTCCTACATAGCTGATGAATATTCAATTAATTTTTGTTTACCACGATATACATCATCAAAATTAGTGTTACTATTCGTTCGTTTTCTTTTTGAGGCTGAACGTTCGAGTGCCAAAAGTCGTGATTATCTCCTGAGTAAAGCTCCTTGTCAAGTGCAGTCAGAAGAGTTATTGGTTATTGTGGCTACTACCTCCTATATGTTATCGAAATGAGTGAGTGATGGTAACAATAGAATGCCGAACTTCACCCGATTTTGGCCCGATTTTACCTACTGTTTACTTCAGCTTATATTCGAAGCTCGACATTCGCACTAGCGGTTATTAAGCGCAGCATACACTAAAGAAAGAGGAGTGCCTTTGAAACAAATTATTGTGGGCCCAAACGACCTAAAATGTCATTTTTCAGTTCTTGCGTTGATATTACCGAAGACAGAAAAAAATCTCACGACCGTTTCAGGATTGCGCGTGATTAAAAACAAAATTTTTCGTTGCAGAAATATCTTAATAGGTGTGTTATGCGCATCAGGAAAACTTAGAGGACAATTTTTTCTTTGAAGAAAGAGCATCTTACCATTTGAATCAGCGAATTATTCTCAGTAGATCCGAAGATATAATTTTCCTTAAACACGAAGTGACGGAACATCCTAAAACGCGGAATGTGTTGTTGTACGAAACAAAGTCTCATAAAAATGGAATAGTAACGGAAGAAGAAAATGATTAGTGATTAACAGGCAAAATTGAAAGAAGTATAGTTTAATCATTACTCATTAATGGAGCCTGAGGGAAAGAGGAACAGCAAGGTTCTTGAAAATGATCAACTATCATTATTATTGTCAATATGATTATTTGTTACCATTATTGGTTAAATGTCAATTAGTCACCATAATCTTGAATCATCTATCATTATAATCTTGAATCATCTATCTCTTGTGGAACACGGTATTCATAAACATGTGCGATGCAACAGGTTTTCTGTTTTGTATGTGAATACCAATCTTCTTAAACGCTACCTTAAACCGTCATTACACAACCTCAAGGTCTTTACAATGCATAAAAATTGTGTTATATCAGTGGCAATATGCAGTTTAAGACTTCCTATTTTGGATTTTAAACAGTAGTGTCCAATTTTGGATTTTAGACACCAGTGTCCGATTTTAGATTTTGGACACTAGTGCCCAATTTTGGATATGGATTTTGGATGCTAGTGTCCGATTTTGAATGTTGGAAAATAGTGTTCGGTTTTTTATTTCTCGTAACTAATTAACAAGTGAATGTGTAGCAGCTAGAGAGGAGAATTAGCAATTAGATCTTGGTAGTTAAAATTCAGTACCATTCGTAATTGTTAAACGTATGAACAAGTCGATGGTAGAGGGTAAGTGAAAATGTGTCAACACTGCTTTAAAAAGCACTCTAAGTCTTAGTATTATGAGGATGCTGCATTTTACTTTCCACCTTTTCCAACTACTCGAAAGGAAAAAGAATTCATGGAAGAGTAATTTCCGCAATGTCAGAGACCGCGCTAGCAATAAAGTGAAATTAAAATTAACCCGAATAATGCCCGAGTCTTACTCTTAAAAGAGTAAGAATTCTGATATACACACAATATACTAGGAAAAATTTACATGTCATTGAACTTTTATCAAGGTATTCCATTCCAAAGAATAATTTAAAAGTTTGCTCAGTGTTATCGGCAAGGCTCGTGTTTACATCCATTCTTCTCCGACAAATACTGAAACAGTATTAAAAATTGCCAATGTCTCACTCACCTCGTCTAAAAAAAAGTGTTTCGTACTTCATAGACCTTTTTCATGGAGGAAACAAAATAGCGCCACCTTTTTTTCCAAAGTCATTCCTTTTCCTGTGTCTGACAAGCAAAGCGAAACGGGAACATAGCAAAACGAATAGGGATTTCCCGCCTTTAAACGCGGCTGGCAACGGGTTTTTCGCGCGCTTTTTCTAAACCCGACGCGTATATCGGCTACAGCTCACAATTTCATGTACTACCCTACTCCTATCTAAAACTAATACAAATAATAACAAGTTTTATCCAAGCCTAAAAGTGGAGCTCAAGTTACTTTGTTAAACTGCCCTCTACTTTCTTTTAACCCTCCACAGGCTGAATATTTCATTTACAACAATTGTGGGACCAGTCGCTTTTGAAACGGGGGTAAAAATGGTTCCGAGAAACAGATGGGGTCAAGGGCTTGTGGACTGTACTCAAATCCAGATCACACGGACGAAGAGACCCTGCTACTTATTTCAAACTCATAGACGAGAGGTTATTAACTACTCAGTTTATTTTAATTGACAACTGTGAAAAACGTACAGTATTTAACAAAGTATCAAACTATACATATGAATAAATAGCTTTACATTTCCTTTTCAGGATCCAAAATAAAACCTGCATGAATAAATATCGGATCCTGCTATGTACATATAAACTGTGAACAAATCACCTTTGCCTTGTCTTCAATATTAAATATGCAGTGTTTATAAAACCTGAACTTGCTTATTGTCAATGCACTGTACAGTTCCATTAAGCGAACGATATTTCATCACAGGAAAATGGCTGTCTTCTCATTTTGTAACGCAACTTCTGTAGGTACATCGAAGTCTCGTTCATTTTGAGCTTCAAGAGCTTTCAGATCTAACTGCCATAGAAAAAGGAAGTAGAAGGTCTACTGAGTAGTGATATCCACTATAACTTCTACAAGTTCTTTTCTTGAAACATTTAGGACAGGACCTTCAGTAGTAGCTATAATTAACTTCTGCGCACACCTGCAGCCTGTTTGGAGGGACGCACAGCAATACCACTCACTGATAGTTCGTCGACGGATCTCGTACCAGTATTCGACGGCTTTTTCCTTGGTTTGAGCCTCGGAGTGGATTGGCTCGAATCCGTTCCGCTGATCTCAGGAGGAGCACGGTATCTCTTTTGGATAGTATGCCCTTTACCATAAGTAACTCCATGCTGATGGACAGTAGACGGCGGAGTCACGTTTGTCCAGAATGTTTGCACCTCTCCTGAGAATCACAATGACAGAAAAAGTTTACAGAGAGCAACTCTTAATTAAATAATCATAAGGAAATAGAGGAAGAAGGTAAAGTAGGAAGGAAGAAGCGAAGATTGTGTAAAGGAGACGAATCAAACAGGTATTGGGTTCAGTCTCTTTAAGAGCCGTTTCTTGGAGTGCTCGACAAAGGGAAGAAGGACCCTGGTAATAAGAAAACCTGTGGGGTGAACCACAAATGGAAGAATATTATAAAACAGATAAAACATTTACCATCTAATGGATTACTGGCGGCAGAAACAGAAGGTTTCGCCGATGTTTTTCCACTTTCTGTATCTGAGATGGGCTTGGAGAGACTCGTTGCTCTGGCTTGTCGTGTCCTGATGGCTTTGTGTCCTTCTGTGCCATGTCCCCCATACATTCTGCTCCTTGTATTTGACTGCGCCAATGCAGCGGCCACTTTTTGTCTTGCCGCCTCTTGTAACTCTTCTTTACGAGTGCGCCGAGGTTTCACTGAACAAAAGTAAGTCAAAGCACATGGAATTAGCATCCTCAGCCTTTCTATTTTTTTTGGTATGAAAATTTTTTTGGACTCTAGGTAAAAATCTGCTGTGTGGTGGTTACTAGCATCGCATCACACGGCGGGCCGAATAAATGACAGGTAGAAAATTGCTAATACAAAAAAAACATTTCAATAAAACTTTCAAAAAAAAATTCAACACAAAGAGAAACTATTTCAGTCTTTAAAGATGCTATGTCCATTTGCCACTGACATTTAAATGAATTTAAAGTAACAGAACCCATTGAGAAATCCAACCAGTGACCCTCCGTATTAACGGTGGAATACTCCACCACTAAGTCACAACGAATTCTTGAAAAGATAGTCCTAATGTTGCAAACGTTCTGTATAGTGTTGGGGTTAGTTATGTCGATAGGGCATAGCCCAAACATATAGAAACATAAATACGTCACTATCTGCTTCGTCCTTTACAGGAGTGAGTGGGTAGAGACGCCATAAAACTCACCTCTCAAAACTTTAGACTCATCTAACGATGCGGAACGTAACCTCTTGGGCTTCCTTTGAGGGGCATTTTTTATTTTGCTCCTCCCAGCCCCCTTCGGTTTGTCCGCTGGTGGCGCCTCTTCAGATGAAACGTCTCCTGTTCTTTTGTCAATTGTAGACAAATCACTCATACTTCGCGAAGCCTTGACCGAGAGTCTTTTGTCCCTCTGTACACTTTGACTTTCGGGAGCCTGATCAGGCACGCGCATGTCCGTGACAGAACTAGACTTTGTAGGGAGCTCTCTACCAGGTCCTAGTCTATTATTGCTAGTTTTAGGACTCTTATCCAGGCCACCTCGACGGCGTGCAGCGATCTGAGCGATTTTTCGCGTTCGGGCAAACACAGGGCTGGCTGGGGTAGCGAGCTCCACCTCTTCGTGCAAGTCTTCCATTACGGAGGACACGGTAGGCGAACTGCGTATGCTTTCACCGTCGTCAGTATGGCTCAGAAGCTTTTTCGTTTTCTTGGGTGTGGGCAACGATAGAGGAGAACTAAAAAAAATCAAATGTAAGCATATATTTGCAATTACATTTTCTGGAACGCTTCCTCAGCAGAACTCTTAATCCTTTCACTCCCAAGATCTCATTGGTAATTCTCTTTACTGTCTGACATAAAATTCTTATGTTGTCAATTTGGAAAATTTGGTACTGGATTAAGTAATAATCCCCTGATTGATATTTTTCTTCATTCTCATCACTTCTATGCTTGATATTGTACTGATATTGTAAGGAGAAATTCTCTCCAGGTCACTCATGGAAGATAAAAGGTTAAACACAAGAAGATATGTTACCTGATTTCCCGTGTGAACACGTCATCCGAAATCTGTGTGCAAGCAGAAGGTGTGGTACGTGACATCTTAACGGGTGAGTTTTGAAGTGACACCAGACGAGAAGGTGTCTCCTCACTCAAAGGCGACAACTTGCTGAATGTGACTGTAAAAGACAAGGTGAAGGTAACTTAGTTCATCCTGACCTAACAATGGAAACTTTGTGAGAAAATGCCACTGCTCCTTCTAGAGAACCTTGGACCTTCGTTGCGACACCACAAGAGTTTCGTTGAGGAATTCGCGACAATCATTGGTTTAGAGAAATAAAAATCACCGAAAATTAAAACACTAGATTTACAGGAGCTGGACCAGCACGATTCAACCAATCAAACCTTTACGGGAAAATGTTCTAAATAGTTCCTATTCACAGAAATCTTTACAGTCCAGTACAACGGCGACTAGAATACTGCATATAGTACTTACATAACTTCTCTCGTGCTAAGGGCATCATTCGGCGATTTATTCCGGCAAGAAGTGAAGCCTGATATAAACAACAACATAAAAAAATCAAATGCATCATTCAGGTAGACTCAAATGCGGACAAAAAGTATTCTTCAGATGTGGATGACAAGATCTCACGCGTCTTTGCTTGCGACCTGCAATTTTCATAGGAACAGACCACATGCTGCCTGCAGTCGATCGATCTTTTCATATAAATTTTTTATGTGAGTTTTGTAACCTGTAGATTTTTCATTTCCACCCTTCTCACTGAAAAGAGTAAAAAAGAAAAAAGAGCTTGTCCTTGAAGGTCATCATTGGGCCAGGTAGGCCAAGGTTTAGTCTGTAGGTGCGGGAGTGTTTTCTACCTGTGGGTTGCTATGGATACCTATGGATTGTCTCGTGCCTACCATGCTAGGCTTCCAGGTACGAGTTCCCAAGCCCACAAGAAGCCGATTTTTTAACGAATGCCTGAAGTATTGTCGATCAAGCGCGGTTTACCTTTTGTAACGTGTTCAAAGAGCCTTCCCCGTTCTTCTGCTCGCTTGAACTGCTCTCGCGTTGCTCAAAGTCAGCTGATTGCTCCATGTACACATCATAAAGTGCTTCAAGCTCTGCAGAACACTGCACTCCAGAATCTAACAGGCATAAGGAAAGGAATTTGCATTTAATTGTAAATTGCTGAATTATAATTTTCCTTTTTTCCGATAAGTTGCTGTGATTTTAGGCTGCACGATTAAAAAGCCCTATGTTACCATATTTTGTAAGCTTACCGTTGATAACAGATCTCTGCATTTGAATAATTTCATCACACAACCGCTGCCGTGAATCATACTTGTTCATCTCCAAGTCCTTTTGTCGTAGCAAGTTCTCCCTGAGTAACGAGTTCGACTGGAGCTCAGCATTGGTAATTTCGAGCTCGTGAACCTTGCACAGAAGACCCAAGATTTCTCGATTCTCTTCGCTGCTTATCTTCTTGGGTAAGAGCTCTTCCAAAGCTTCAACCTCCTTTCGTGTCTGCTGAAGCTTTTCCTGAAGATCTACTTTGAGATTAGACGTGCGTTTTTCCTCTGCAATCAGTGTTGTGATTTCCTCTCGCGCAAAAGATACTTCTTCAGGCTCTGCGATTTTTGCACCTTGGCGTGCTTCTGACTTTTTATCCTTTTCGGTGTCCATGTCTTTGCTTTCAACATCTTCCACAGTGTCCATATTGGACAGTGTTGTCCCTTCGCGGAGGTTTTCGCCGAGGATGTTTTTGTCTTCTGCTAATGACCCATCGCCTTTCACTCTGTTTTCATTTTCGGAAGAAGCCGCAGTTCCCAAGTCGTTCCTCACCTCAGAAACGTTAGGTTTCCCAGATGAGTTTCTGGTAGTTTTACGCACACCTCTCCTGGCTTTCTCTTGTTCCCATCTACACCGAAATCGTGAAATTAGTGATAACGAATTCTAACACCCATCCTTTTTTCAGGTATATTCAGTATTTAAGGGGTTTCTTACTTAACAAATTCAAAAATTAGAGTCCCTTCCTCCTTCTTTATTAAGCCTCGCACAGAATTCTTCGAAATAACATCAAAAACATTGCGTTTTTGTTCCCTTCTCAGCTTACCCCCCCCCCCCAATCTTTTTAATTTTATGCACACTTACTCATCTATCACCAGCATGTATCGGTTCATGTCAAGTGAGATCTGCATGGCAGTGTCCTCAAGTTCTATCAATCTGCGCCTGAAATGTGACCAGCAAAGATACTTTCAGACAAGAACAGCACACACCAAACGTTAAATGGAAGATATTTCAGTTCCAATTTTTCTAACTTATCAGCTCAGTTGTACAGGAAGAGCTTAGCAGGTTCATTATGTCAATGGCATTTTGAAGATCAATCAGAATTTCTGGCCGAAGTGTAAGAACAAATAGTCTTTCAACTTATCGTCTCAACGTCGATGATTTATTAGCTTGTTATCACAATAAGTCAAAACACAGTCAACCTTGAAGTGGTAGGAACGCACGAAAATGTACGAACTGATACGCAAATTTTACTACCGACAGGAAATTGGGACAACGGAACTAACATTGCACAAGAGGTATCCCTCCAAATGTCAAGTAAATATGTCCATAATTCGTATGTGTTTTGAAGTTTGCTCCAAATCGTCTTTACTAACCTGATATCCATCTGCTCTTTAAACGTACTGACGAGTTGGTCCCGCAACTTATTCATCGCTTCCGGATTCTTGCCTTTTTGTTGCTCTGCCAAATTAACACAAAGGGAATGAGGTCACTTTGTTTTTACCTTAGATCAGTAATTTGAAAATCATAGTTTCTTTGTCAAAGGAGAAGTTAAAAAGTCCTGAAATTTTCCTTAAAAATATTTAAAAACTTGGGAGCCGAGCACACTTTGGAGTCCCTCGATCTTGTGGACAGTAGAAAAAGGAAGGAGGCCATTGTGCAAAAAACACAGAACAGCTAGCTCCAGGCTTTCCAAATGGTTTTTTGGCAAATAAATAGGCATCAAATTCAAAATTTTTCGATAAAAATGGAAGCCAACTTACTTGAACTTTCATTACTTTTGTCCGCATCATGTTCAGAGATTTTGAGTTTGAGACGAAATATTTCTTTTCTTAAATCAGCAATGATGTTGGTGTACTGTGCAATGTGGTAGGATACGCTGAACTGATTTGGCTTCACCTATCAATTGAATCAAAATGTTGTAATGAGTTTATGAGATATTTGAACCCGTGATAGAGCGTTTTCAAGAAAAAACACAGTATTGTATTAACATGCCTCTGACGTTTGCTTCAAACTTGGCTCGGGAGACTTGGCGCCTGTACAAAGTAATTGCGTTTCGAAAAAAAGTTTACACTTACATTAGTTTTTATGTTCTTGGCCCTATCTGCATACAGGAGTGTGTTACGAGTTTCCTCATATGATCCACTTGCTGGACTTGCATGGGCAATCATGACTGTGCGACAGTTACCACCCAAAGAATCCTAAATGTTAAGATAAGATAAAAATGTTTTAGGAGTGTCAGACTACTTGAAAGAAGCCACATTTAAATCTTCTGAAAGCAGAAGCATTCTAGTGCATTTTGTTCCACATGAAAGAGCACCGAACAGCAGGCTAACAGCAGGCTAACAGCTTTTATTATTCTCCATGGAATGAGAAGCTTATCCTTGCAAAGGGACCAACAACTCTCAGTATGTTAACAATCCAGCCTAACTTTTTAGGAAATGCTGCAATAAGCAAGTCTGTTATTCTTCTCCTTCATTTTAAGGCTAAATGGCGGGGGGTTAACCCTCTCAAGAACGACCAAACTGGCTTTTTTCTAAATAACAACAATGCAATTCTAAGCATAAGAGTTGTACGACAAACAATGAGGAGAACTCTTAATTGGGCTCTGGCAGCAAAAAGGTTACATACTATATGAACTGTACCTTTAAAAGTCTGGTCAGTTTGCTATCTCTATAGTTGACATAATGCCCTCGATTTTCACCTGAGGAGAGTCAAAGAAAGGCAAGACAACATTCAGTATTCTAAAATTATTTTCTGAACAATTAACAACTTCCTGGTTGCTCAACCAGAAAACCTGTGTAGATCTTAAAATTGATAATATTAATTTTTGAAGAATACAATGCAAAAATCAATAATCAAAGAAATACAGGGAAAAAATATTTGCATCCAAGAAACTTCAGTCAAGGGTGCATATATATCATTATCATCATCATATTTTATTTGCCTTATTTACACAATACAAAAAATTTATTTACAGCGGTTATGGCTAGAAGGCAAAGAGACCCAGGAAGCCACTGGGCTTATGGGAGAGCCACCTGACTTACATTAATAAATAAAGTAAAGAAAAAGTGCTGTGAATGTGTGGCTAAGCCAATTCAGTGATTATTTAAGTAAAAACTATTCCATTTTTGTCTTAAAATGTAAAAATGTATAATGTATATAGTTTGTGTAGCAGGTAAGCAAGAACAAAGAGCAAGTGGTAAGGAGGGACTGATGCAAAAGAAGAGAAATAAATTCAATATACAGCTCTGTCCTCCTTTGATCAGCAAACTGCCATCTTTGCCAAGGAACTGCTACACAAGCTTACAAATGCACCAGCTTATCTTCCATTACTGCATTACTTACTCAGAGCATTGATGCAGTTTCCCAAAGCAAGTAAGGAACGGTTGATATGTGCCCCTTCTATCATTCTCTTACCACGATTCTGGAATCAAAATAATTTCTACTGTTAAAATTTAAAACGAAAAAATTCCAAAAAGTCTAAACCACAAGATATTCTCCATGCTACTAAAAAAGAAGCAATGAATGCATTTGCATTGGCATCATCAACAAAGAAAGCCTGAGTACCTTAGTCTGCGCAGCCCTCTCAGATCCAGCCAAATCAATCATAAAAAGTTTCCCCACTCTGAATTCATCAATAGTGTTCTTCACACGACTCTTCTGAGTGACTGTTACCTACAAAATATTAATAAAAAATGACACTGTGTAAAAAAATAACATCTCCACCAGAATGAAGCATAAAATGAATTCATGAACTTGGACACATGACAACACTCCTATTTGCAAACTTGGTATAAATGTGCAAGTCTACATGAGCCCTTTAATAAAGAAAAACAATTTAAATTTAGTATGGTACAACATATAACATCTTGGTCCCTACCTGAAGGATAGCATGAGATCTTGAAGAGGTTTTGTTGGCAGCAGTAGGTTCACTTGTTCTTTGTTTGTTTCCCATCATAAGCAAATCCATAACCTAAATTTGAGTGATAAAAAACAATATAAAGATAATGACAAAGGACAATACAGACTCAGGGAGAAAATATTGACAAAATCTACACAACTCTGGTCAAGTACAATCCAAAGGTAGATGCAGTCACAAATAAAGCACACCATCAGATAACCACTTTAAGCCCCAGTCAACCTTTTGACTCCCAAGATTTTATTAGTAATTCTCCTTACTGTTTCCCATATAGCTCTTGTGATTTTAGTTTGGAGAATTTGGCATTGGATCAACTTATAGTCCCCTAATTACGATTTTTCTTTATTCTCATTACTCATCTGCTTGACATTGTATTGATATTGTAAGGAGAAATTCTGTCTTGGTCACACATGGGAGTTACATGTTAAGGGTTAAGTGTCTGTGAGGTGATGTTACAACATCGCTTACAGGGAAACAATGGTACTATGTTTACCTCGCTTGTTTTCTTGGCTTGAACTTCTGAGATACCAGCCACTACGACTCCTCTACTGTCTTCCCGCAGTTCAAGATAACCAGATGATGGGTTCAACAAATCGCGAATCATTTCATTATAGATCTAATGGACAAAGAGTGTAAGATCAGCTTTTAATCCTAACAGTAAAGATAAAGCAACAAGTATCAATCACAACTGCAGATGTGAATAAAATGTCATAATACTGATTGTTAACAATGGAAATATCACCACAAGGCACTGGTCAATAAGACAATAACTTAAGGAAAGAACATTTTATTTATGTGCCTTCTCAGCCAAACCTTCTACCCTTGCTTAATAACTTATTCTCAAAGTTATGTTCATGTAGGGTTCCCTAATATAAATTTTTGGTCCATCATAAAACAAAAAATAAACTAGGAAAAAACAAAATGAAGATTTATAATATTATATATTTCATCCTTACTTCCAAGTATGACATTGACACTTTGTATTTCATATCTTCCTTAGTCCTGTCCATTGCATTGAAAAGATCATTCAAGGCACGTGCCATAATACCAGGCTCTCTGTCAGTACCCAACATGGTGAATGTTTTCCCTGCACCTAAACAGGAAAAATAAAAACATTTCACCTTAAATTAAATATCTTAAGAAGTGTTAACCATCAGTTCAGTTTCTAATTCACAGTGATTTAAAAGCTTTTTTTATTACTTTTTATTGAACGATAAAAAAGTTGGTAAATTTACAGAATATACGTAATTAAAAAAACTTTGTGTTCTAAAAAGTCTTAAGTTTTCCTTTTTCCTCTCTTTGTATCCTTTACAGATTCCCAAACATTTCACTTTTAATAAATTTAGGAGATGATGATTGTTGTAATTTTTCTCTTAGCACAGCAAAATCAATCCCCTAGCTCAAGCCAAAATTTTTGCTGCTATGTTATCATTAGACCAGACACTAATAAAGGGGATAAGTTTCTACAGAAACTGTGGTGCTGTGTCAGTGGGAGAGTATAGCAGGTAATTTAGTGTTAACAACTGAGTTGAAAATGTAAATTGGCCACCGTAAAGAGTAAAACAGCTAGTAACTAACACTAGTTAAGTACATGTTACAGTTTACCTGTTGCACCATAAGCAAACACTGTAGCATTATATCCCGAGATGACGTTTTCAATCAGAGGTTTTGCTACTTCCTTGTATACATCAGCCTAGGAAGAAATATGTCATTAAATGTTATAAACAAACAAATTATCCTTATAAGTACTATGGTAGATGTCTCAATATTTAGAGGAAAGAAAAAACTACCAAAGAATGACATTGACTACTACTTGGCTCCCCTCTGGCTTTGTACTTAACTAAAAATGTGTAAATCCACTTTGTCTTTGGACTCCCAGAAAGATGGTTTGAAATAATTCTGTTAATTAGAGCTGATCATGAAACTCTAACTAACCTGATTTGAATTTTGGCCAAATGCACAATCAAAAATATACTGCTTTTCTCTTGATCTGTTTGCTCTGAGAATGTCATCTTGGTCTTCATTGGGATCTTTCAACACCACCAGCTATATCAGTTCAGAAAAAGAAAAATGTCATTAAAATTTGGAAAGCTTGGTAACCTATCTGACCACCTAATTCAAAGAAAAACAATCTTGCAATTTGCACTGATCATAATCAAAAGGTAAAAATCACACATAAGTTTCTGACTGTAATACCTATAACAACAATACTAATAATGAAATGATAATAAAAATAAAAGCAAGAAGAGGCCAAAGAAGATGGCCTTCACTTGGGCTTCCAAAATGGAAATGGAGAGATAGTCAAGAATGTTTGTATGTGACTCTAGCATACTGGCCATAACAGTGTTTGCCATATCTGTGACCATGTCAAGCTTTTGATTAAAATACTTTCCATAACGGCTTTGACCATTGCAGAAGGACATAAGATTGTGTATTGTTTGCTTTTAAGGGCCATAAAAAAATTATTCTTGTCCTTAGAGGCAACTCTGTTTTTTAGATTGTTGGAGCCTGACAATCAGCCCCTATGCAGAGATGCCATGGAAGACACTCAATGACCACAGGATAATTTTACACTTGGGTTCTTCAACAGGAAGCCAAAGTAATAATATTTATAACAACAGTAATAATAGCTACATGTCCTAGGAAATAAGGATACCACTGATCAGCTTACATTTTGAAACACAAGTAAATAATAACAACAACATAATAATAACAATAGTAATGATAATAATAACAAAAGCTATGATAATGTTGAGGACATTTTAATTGTTCAACCTTTCTTTCTTCCTTCCTTTTAGCTTAAGATATAGCAGGCAGAGTACAAAAAGAGTATGTTATCGATTGAACAAAACTGTTGAGTAGCACCCACAGAAAAAACGCGCTTTCAATTCAACTCTTCTTCAATGCTTTTCTTACACAAACGTGACTTTCACAATAACAGAATGGTTTAATTGTGATGAGAAATCACTAGTGTTGTCACAGCTCAATTCAAGAAACACGTACGTTTTCGTCCAAAACATGCACAATTTCGGTGCAGCTTGAATCTTCGACTTCGGCGCCATTCAAAGGCCTTACTCTAACAGCAACCTTTGAAAACAAAAAAAAAACATACAGAAGTTGAGTAAGCTACCGACAAGAACATCTGCAAAAGTTTTGATAAGATCGACCCAAAGGCAAAGGCTTTCTACTTTCACATAGATAAAGCTGAACGTATTGCACATTGCATTAAAAGCTGTAAGACAGTAAAACAGCGTATTTTCGCACGCGAGCAAACATTTACTTACCATCAAGTTATGAGAGCTTTCCTTCCCTTTTTCCTTATCTGTCATGATGACTTTTCAGGTTACTTAATAGATATTTGACGTAAAATATGAAGAGCGAGACAGCTTCAAGCAAGCCACAACCGCTCGAACGTTCCCTCCGTCTTTGAAACAGTTCAACATCCTGGAATTCGATTCTTTTTTCGCCAAGTGCATGAGCTTTCGAACAAGATAAGTTAATCTATTACATTTTGAACGAGATCGGAGCGAACAAAGCACGCTTGTGTCACAAGGTTCACTTCGCAAATTACTTCCCTCTTCACCTTTGTTGTCTGAAATCCACTTCACAAGTTCGCCTCTGCGCATCAATCAACCAATCACAGGGTAGATATTTGTTATTTATTGACCGCTTTGTGACATCATGTATTGACGCGTTGTCAAGGTGACAAAGCAATAACAACATTATATACGACCAGATGGGATCAATCAAGAATTGTGGATAAGAAGGAAAGAGTTTTCACGGGAAGAACATTTATTTATTGAAAGAAACCAGCCAGTACGCGAATCCTTTAGGTAGAAAGGACCTGAAAAATACATATAGAACCTCTAGAACATTCGCAGTTCATTCGCCGAGTAGTAATGCAATTTGAGTGCTAAGCTTTCTGCTTCCCAGACTTGAGCTTTTTCATTAACCGCAAAATTTTATCTTATGACGCGTAAGACAATAAAGCTGCAAAAACAACGATGAAATAATTATTATGATAATTTTTAAAACGTTTTCCAAGAAACCGGGAAATTGTGCTCTGCTGCCTTTCTGCGATTAGATTTCAAAGAAAAAAAAGGAAAAGTGCCAGTGATCTTACTTATCGCTGTGACTATAATCGAGACATAATTTTGACGTTTCCTTTTATCGATGACTTTTACAATCTCTTTATGAATGTGTAATGTCTGTTTCTTGGGCGGCCGATTTGCTCCCTTAGGCGTCATTTACTTCCTCGTTTTACGCTGTAGGAGGTAAACCAGATGAGTTCTCCAAGCGGAAATCCTTTTTTTTGATAAGTATCGTAATCAACTGACGTTTACGTAGATGGTCTTTCAGACAAATGATGGCGTGTTTTCAACACTATCTCATCCTTTTATAAACATCATTGCTCACAATTTCAATGTGGGACGATGATGTTTTTTATTTGTTCAGTCTATCACCTGATTACTCTGCGATACTGGAAGCGGACTGAGTATAATGAAAGTGACAGCGATAGCAAATTCCACGCAATATTACTTACGGCATACGGTTGGCGGTACATGTTGAGGCATGACTAGAGCACTCAACAGAGAGTTGTCACAAAAGGGCAATATTTAGCACATTGTTGTCAGCGAGAAAAAGTCGAGTCAGTTCAACTCAGGCATCGTCTCAGTCATACTCATTCATTCGTAAACTTAACTATTCGTAGGATTGATTCTAACTCCAATTATACACTTCCCTAAATATGCACAAGCACAAAATGAACCACGGTCTTGGAGAGTGGAATTATCTCTCGGAGCCATCAGAGTGTTACGACATAACATAATGTTCAATTAAAAAAGGAAAATCATTTCCAAAATTGGACAGTGGTGTCAACATGCAGATAATAAATTCCAACATCAGACACTTGTGTCCAAATCTTGAAACTAGTGTCCAGAATCGGACACAAGTGTACAAGTGTCAAATAAGACATACGTGTCCAAACAGGACACTAGTGGCCGAAATCAGACGCTAGTGTCAAAAAGCGGACACTAATTTCTAAAATCAAACAGTACTGTCTACGATAAGACGCGCATCTAAAATCAGGAACTAGCGTCCTAATTCAGTCACCAGTGTCCAAAATCGGACACTAGCGCCCAAAATCGGATTACAAGCTCTCAGGAAGGTTCCTAAGCAAAACTCAGAGAGGCCACTACCTAATCAGGTTGAGGGGCTTTGGAAAAGAAATGTAGACACATGACATTTTTATGGATTCAGATGTTTCGGGGCGGCATTGGGATTGAAACTTAAGCTCCTTCTTGTTTTCTTTTCCAGTCAGGTCTTGAATTTTCAAGGTTTTTCGGTTACCATGTCCGTTCTACTCTGTGAAAACGTAATGAAATTGTAATCATTTACTCAATTGAAGCAGACGACAAGACGCTGACAAACAAGTGCATTTGCAAATGAAATAAATAACAGTTAATTTTATTGCTAGTTTAGAATACACTATTGGCTTAAAAGGATTATATAAAAAACAGTTCTTAAAAAACCTGTTTTGAATATGATACAGCTCTATGTTTGCTGTAAATCGAGCCAAATCTGTACTTTAACTAAAAAAGTGTTCAATATACTATGACGTTGTTATTCATAAGCATATGCTGAAAAAAATATTAGGGGTACTTGCTAATAAGTTAGACATGTCGATGTTATTTGCGAAGACATGCAGAAGAAGAATATTTACTAATAGTTAAGACGAATACCAGAATAAATTCGTAATTCGGAGAAGCACACGAGCAGTGGAGTTATCTGAAAGGGTGATGTTATCGTATGAATGAAAACAGTACGATTATTGATAAAGATTTTTGAAATCTTGAACCCAGAATGCACCCAGGAGTAATGAGCAGATGGCACTATTTAATACTTGATGGGAAGATATCGAGATCTCGGAGAGGTCTGATCGAGGTATCGATTGTTTCGACACTGCATGTGACCTCCCTACGATTTGTTTTCCCCTGAACCTACGTTATTCTGGCCATCTGCAAAGGCCAAGAGCGCAATCGTGTGCGGCAGATCGTACAGTCACCGTGGTGTTAACAAAGTAACTTTACTAGTTGCTTGCGAGTGCCATGAAAGTAAAGAATTACGATCAGTTTCGATTTAAATATCCTTAGTAACCTTGTAACCGACCATATAGTTAGAGTGACCACTAAAAATGACGTGACAACATCCTTATCAATGTTGAGGAAAAAAGTCAGTACCGTACTCGGTATTGGTAAATCTCTAGTAATAATCGAAACCTGGGGCAGAATCTCTCTCCTGGTGCGTAAAGTAATGTTCCACCGAACTAACAGCGAGGAAATACGTACATGTTACAGATTGGCTGTATTTGATTTTAGCGTCTTAACTTAAAGTTTACCAATGCGAATTCGGTACGCCTACAAACAGAAAACAGACATCCGAATAGTTTGCATGAAGGACTTAAGCTTACAATGGTAACTTCCATCCCTGCATTTCATGTCCCTTAAAATTCCAAAAAATTTCTCGCCTAACGTATTCGACTGTTCTTTGTCCACAAAACAACGTTTATTTTGGGGAAATTTAACTAGCACTGTTCACTGCTTCTGAATCAATTTAATTTCGCAATCAATTCGAAGTGGGAGGAATCCTTGGAAACCAGCTTCGGATAGCGCTTGAATTCCAGATTGACCAATATTGTTTTCTCCTATGTCTAAATGAAGCAATGTGCCATTGGTTTTGCGAACCTCGGCGAACGCCCTTGCACCAGAGGATTGAATACCGTTTTCTGCGATGGACAGGTTAATCAGGGTTTTATTTTCTTTCAGGGCCTGGCAGAGTGATTTAGCTCCAGAATCTTCAATACCATTGCTTGACAAGTTAAGAGCAGCCAGTCCCTTATTAATTTTAAGGGCCTCGGCGATTGACTGAGTACCTTCAGGCCCAATACCATTCACTGATAGATCAAGATTAGTCAGAGCAGAGTTCACTCCAAGACCATCTGAAAGAAGCTGAGTACCTCGAGCTCTGAGCGCGTTCTGAGACAAATTCAATAACATCAGTGTTTTGTTAACTTTAAGTGCTTCAGATAGAAAATGGGCCCCTGGCGCTCTGATATTGTTTCTTGAGAGAAATAAAAGTTTCAAAGTTTTGTTGACCTTGAGGCTTTCAGCGATTAATCGGGCACCACCCACACTAACTTTGCTCCCCTCAAAACCAAGTGACATCAGGGATGAATCCACTCTCAGAAATTCAGCGATAGAACGGATGCTCTTCTTGGTTATCATCTTCATATCAGATAAGTTCAGACTGGTTAGGGTGGTACGATCCCTAACGGCTTTAAGGAGCGACTTAATACCAACATCATCTAGGCTAGTCCCTGACAGATCTACCATACCGAGCGTATTGTTTACTTTGAGAGTTTCACAAAGAGACAAAACCCCACGGTTACCAAAACTTAAGTTTCCTGCCAGGACCAGAATCTCCAATGTGGTATTGTGGCGTAGACTCTCTGCCAGACATATGGCACCACGGTCAGTAATTCCATTTGCCATCAGGTTTAAACAAACCAGGGCTTTATTGGCCTTTAAGTACTCCGCCAAAATCCCGGCGCTATCATCTTTCAACATATTGCCAGCAAGGATTAGATCACGGAGGGTGGAGTTTACCATAAGCGCGTCTACCAAGTGCTGGACCCCAACTGCGCTGATAAGTTTGTTTGTTAAGTTGATTTTTACCAGGGTTTGGTTGACTTGAAGGGTTCTAGCTAAGGAAACCGCATATATGTCTCCAGGAGAATACCATGGCAATGGCATACTGAATTCCTTCAGAATGGTATTTACTCTAAGGGCCTCAGCAAGCAATGGGATGTCACATCTGTTGTCGAAAAATAACCAATGTGTGGCGCTGCAGTTTTGTTCCTAGCAAGTGCAACAACTTACTTGACAGAGTAGAACTTACTAAACAGTCCCTTATGCATTTTAAGGCAAAATACAATAAGTAATTTGCATGAAGGTCCGGGCTTTGATTAATGTTTGTGACTATGGTGTTCATGAAACATGTAGCTTTCTCTTCACTCTTGAGGCTGATAATTCCGAATGCAAAGAAATGGGCGAGCTCATACTTAACGTATGATCCATCTTCTGGAAATAGCATTTCAGGGCTTATTTCACCACTTAAAATCTGGCTCGCCAAAAATAACCTGCAAAGAAATCTTGAAAACTCCTGTGAATAAATGCATAATCCAGGGAAGGATGTCTTTTGCTGCGATTGGTGTGGACTGACAGGAATTCAAATACCGGTATTTCGTTTGCTGAACCTCCAAGTTCATTTCTTTTGAAGTACATCTGATCTTCTGTCAAACCTTTCCAGGCTAGTCGTCCCAGTCGCTCTACGTCATCTTTGTGGAAGTCAATCAAGTCTCCTTCTACGTTAGAGAATCCTTTCTTTTGCCGAAATCGCCTTAAAACGCAACCAGTTATTTCAAGATAGAGCTCAGTTTTGCTTGAGGGTAGATCGCCTTCATAGTCTTCACACAAGAGACATAGCAGAGCTGTCGTCAAAGGATGCATTGTCAGTTCCAAAAGTTCTTTCTTGCGTCTTGTCTCGCTTAAGAGCCTCTGACCTAATGCTTCCCGACCATCAAAGTAACGAGTGATGAAGCTTTGAGAATGCTCTGTAGAGAAAATCCTGTGATGTGTAATAAGGTGTCACAATACTTGCTCACGCTCATCCCAGCCTCCTGCCTGGATGTAAGAATGATGTGACATTTTGGAAGCTCTCTACCCTGAACAAGGTCAGTAAACATCTTCGAAAGATTTGATGGAGCTTCATCCAATCCATCAAGTACAAGCAACACCTGGGATTGATTGGCTCGGATGAACTTGAAGAAGTTCTCTTTTGCGTCCTCTTCGACATCTTTAGGAAGAAGCTGATCATCAATAGCTTCCCATATGCTGCCTGACACGTCACAACATCTAAGGAAGAGAAGCAATTTAAAATTGGGGAAAGATACATCAATTTCCAGATCATTGGCCCAGTCACATGCCATCTTTTGACAGTAGGTTGTCTTGCCCATTCCTGGTTCCCCCTCAATCAGGACAGTCCTGGGCTTGGAACAATCCTTATGAGGTTTGAAGACTCCTGTAGTACTGTCTATTTGCTCTGCAACCGATCTTCCAGCTCTGTCGCGTGTGACAATGGTCGGTTTGGTAAATATGTCGTTTAGATTGAAGTTGAACTCTTCACACCAAGGAAATGGCGAGAGCCGACCTTCACGAGTTTTGTAGAGGTTGCGAATCGTTTCTATGAGGTCATGTGACATTTCAAATTCTGAAAAGGAGGTAATTACTGTCAACATAATATAAGGGTATGACTGCTAGAGACACAGCTATGGGCATTAATTATACACGAAGCTTAGAGAAACTTCTATTGAGCACAAAGGAGCGAAGGTTTGGGAAAGCAGGATTAAATAAAATGAAGGGAAAAAAAGCAAAACAAAAGGATTGGCAGCAAAGAAAGGGGAAGATAAAAGAAGAGAACAAAAGTCAGGAGGATTAGTCAGAAGAGGGGGGAATGAATGAAACAGATTGAAAATATGGAATGAAAGGTAAACTAGGGAAGAAGAATGGGAATGCCAAGAGAGGAGAGGGAGTGAAAGGCTCCAACTGCAAGTAAAAGGCAGATATGTAAAACAAATGAAACATAAACCAAAGAGAACATGTAATAAACTCAAAGTTCTTCCAAAACAAAAGTAAGACTGTGTATTAATTTCAAATGCGGGAGCTAACGAAATTCCCAAAGGAGAAGAGAAAAAAGGATAGAGGAAATGAGGGAAATGAAGGGGAAGGGAAGAAAGTATAAGGTAGAGGAGGAGTTGAGGGGAAGAGAGAAGAAAGGAGAGGGGACTATAGGAAAGAAGGTAAGCTAAGCTAAGAGAAGAAAGGAGGAAAGAAAAAGGGAAGAGATGGAAAAACAAGAAAGGGAAATCAAAGTCAAAAGTGGGTTAGAGATAAGAGGGGAAGGGTAGAGGTAGGAGTTAGTTGAATAGAAATGTGAAATGGAGGAGAGAGAGCAAGAAGAAAAAGGCAAAGAGGAGTAGGTGGGACTGGAATGGGAATGGGCTTGAGGAGGAGCAAAGGGGAGGGGAAGGGATTACAAGAGAGGAAAATGAAACTTAACCCATTAACTCCCAGAAGTGATTAACGAGTAACTTCTCCCTATAGTATCCATGCACTTTTCAGTAAACAGGTATTGAGAATACTCAAATGCATCAGGTAGAAGTTGTTACCTTGATCTAACACCAAATTCTCATAACCTATTTACAAGGAAATGTGTAGCAGCTAGAGAGGAGAATTAACAATCAGATCTTGGGAATTTTAGGGTTAAGAGATGGTTGGATAGAAATGGGGAATGATGGAGAGAGGAAAAAGGGCAAAGGGGAGGAAATAAGATGAGAGTAGAGGGGGAAAAAAGTTAGGCAAGGGGTGGGTACAGTGTAGAAGAGTGAAGTGGAAGAGAGGAAAAAAGGGAGATGGGATGAGAGGAGTTGGGAGGAGAGGAGAGCAAAGGGGAGAATATGAGATGAGAGGAAAAGGGATAAGAAAGGTGAGAAGGGCAAGAGAGGAGGAAAGGAGTAGAATGGGACTAGGGGAGATGGGAGAGTAAAGGGGAGTAGATTGAATGAGGGGGAATGAGAGTTGGGAGAGGGGTGGACAGAAGTAGGGAGGGGAAGTGAAGGGAGCAGAACAAAGGGAAGGGGAGGGAAGGCAAGGACAAGAGAGGGAAGGAAAAAGGAAAAGGAAAATCTAGCTGGCACAAAAGTTTAAAACCACAGGGAAAGCTTGACTATCAATTAGCATATCAGAAACATACCTTTTGGTTGAGATTTACTTGTTGATACCTTTAATTCTTCAAGTTCCCTTTGGATTTCTTTCAGCACATCCTTAATGTTGTCTTCATCCTTTTTCCACTCTTTTAACATTTCTTCATAATGATCAGCAATTTCAGGGTCCATGCATTCATTTTTTAAATCATCAATTGCAGATTCATATTTAGCTCCTCCAAGACTCACAAGAGCATCTTGTATGTCCTTCCAATAGGCATTAAATGTTGCATCATCCACAGAAGCCTGGTCAGCATGGCCATACACAGTGTTTCTAAAATATTTCACCCTTGCAATGTTGGCCTCGGCGCTCACATCTGTGTCAGGTGGAAGTGCATCCCAGCCTGTTGCTGGTGGACTCAACCTGCAAATTTTCCTCAGAAGGACTGTCAAAAGTGTGATATCAAAGTCTCTTGAGGATACAGAGGAGCGTATTACAGGGTATAGCTTTCCCCACTGAGTGGCATTTAAGACTCTCCGATTGCGAAGTGCCTGCAGTGTGGAATGATGTGTTGTTGTCAGGTTGGTATGAAGACTGGCAGGTGGATGTATTTTGTCAAACGTGTCCCTAATCACTAAGGATCCCACATCAACCAGAAGTCGACAAAGTCGCGCATAATTTGTGGTCTCTTTAGTGGAGGAAAATGATGTTGGATTGCCAGCTGTGGCCATTAGTCCTGCCTGAGATAGTAATTTACCCATGTTAAAAGATTATTCAATATTTTCTTAAGGTAACAAACCTTCCTTGATCTTTATGGGAGTGAATGGATAGACTAGAGTAGTCCCTCCTTTTGCAAAGTTCATCACATGCAACATAAACAATTAGCGCAAATGAAAAAAAAAAACAATTGATTTAGTGCACTAGGCAGACTTCTGAAAGTAGGCTTCGCTTCCAGAGGTCTGCACAGTGCGCTGACATCAATTTCTTTTTTCACTGATTTTTTGTTACTTATGTGACAAACTTAGACATATTCAATATCATGAAGACAAAACCATTGTCATCCACTTCAACAGAGATCAGTTCAAGGGGTGAGTGTAACAAGTCGTTCTCAGAAGGTGCCATGAGAACACGATTACCGTTTCATTTTGATAGAGTTAAAAAATATCAACTCATCATACAGAAATTTTACAATAGCTTTGAAGATGATAAACCATTTTCCTTTTTTCTTCGGAGTTAAGTGTTCTTACGTGCTCTTAAGTGTTAAAATATCGTGCCAAAGTTCATTACTAAAGCAAAACCGTGTCCATGAATAATAGTAAGTAATGAGATTGTTGTTTATATGAAGATTGAGTGGAACGGCAGCTTAACTTTTGAAAACTTATATGTATACGTAGTTTGACACTTCTTTCTAACGTTTTTAAATTATCATTCAATAGTACGTAAGTAAAATTTTAAGGCTACTCGGTAGAGGTAAATACGGTGACAACTAGGATTACATGCATCCACAGACAAATCAATATCAGACGACACCGTCGACGAAAACAAAAGCAAAACAAGTAGGTTATGGAAAGTCAAGCAATAACAATTAGAAAGGTTACTTCAAATTGTTTTTGCCTCCAAGGTATATCAGATATGCTACTTAAACATATATTTCCTCCTTTCCAGACACATTAAATCAGATTAATTACGTGAACCTGAAACGAAAGAAGAATCGAACACAATGGTTCGAAAGAAGCACCGTTATGTAATTAAAATTAGGAAAGAATAACCAAATGTTGCATTCATCATCACTTTCTTCGACGGTTGGCCAACAAAAAGAAGATTTACAAACCTGTCTCCTCACGAATACAATGAAAATTACAGGGAATTATCGCTGTTAATCGTTGAACAGGCCATATTTCCTGCTGCCTTCGCTCTGCCTTGCACTGGAACTCTCCGGTGACGTGTTTGGAGTGACACTGTTCGTCTGGCTCATGCCCAGTCATGTCTCATATAACCAGGGCAGATGGGAACTTGAACTGATGATGTTCCATTCCTCTATTTTTATTTTTACTACGTTTCTTTAACTTGCGTCATCTGTGATACAAAAATCTCGGCTAAGTCGACTGTCAGTTCTGAGCTGAAATTAGGGACAAGTTTATTGTGAGAACATTATACTATCTACGTAAGCCTTAATGATCCTTTTCGTTTCGTTTTAGAGTCGACTCCCTGTTTTCGTGCGTAATTGCCACTCAAGCCACCCTTGGAGGTCACTCTGGAATTGGTTTATGTCCGCACTAAAACATATCAGTGATATCAGTCTTTCAGACCTTTCAAAATATGAGTGAAGTTATTCGCTGTATTTCACCTCAATTTCATTCTATTCTGTTGAGAAAACAACGCCAAGTGTACGCCTATTTGGCCCTGAACTGTTTCCCTAGCTACCCACCATAGAATAATACTGGTACGTTCACTGTTTTAAATGAGCTGTTACTGACCTGCCACGACGATCAACTATAGTACGCTCGGTTGTAGTCAGTTACATTTTTTAAATCTCTTTCTCTCAAACCAACGGCGTAATACCAAAATCTATGTATTTTACGCGATCTTTGTGAGTTGAAAAGAAGGTAATTCAATATGACTGATAAACTGACTTGATTTAAAATATAGAGAAGCCTTGACTGTGCTCTGTTCTGTTATAAAGCACGCAGGAAGCGGTTAGAGCACGAAAGAGGTGTAGGGAGAAACACGAGACGTAGTCGAGTGTTTCTCCCCACTTCTTGAGTGCTCTTGCCGCTTCTTGAGTGCTTTATTATAAAGCGTAAATTGGCCACAGTAAAGAGTTTCAAAGCTGACGTTTCGAGCGTTAGTCCTTCGTTAGAGCGAGTGATGAAGGGTTAACTCTCGAAACGACAGTTTTGAAACTCTTTACGGTGGACAATTTACGTCAGCAACTCAGTTGATATTATTAAATTACCCCATATACTTTCCAACCGAAGCAGCACCACAGTTCAGGGTCGTAACAAGGTATATTTTTTCATAACTGATCCTGTATTTTTGCCCCAAATTTTGATCCCTGATCACAAAAACGTTGAGAATTTTAATCCCTGATCACAAAAACATTGGGAATTTTGATCCCTGATCCCAAAAACGTTCACAATTTTGATCCCTGATTCCACTAAAACACTGCTGATCCCGATCCCAAGTGTTGTGATCCCAGATCCCGGGGCTGTGATCCCTGATCTCATATACCTTGTTACGACCCTGACAGTTTCTTTGGAAACTTACCCCTTCGTAAATGAAATAAAGTTCATCAGACAGGGCTGGAGATCTCTACAAGCTCTTGTGACCTGGCTTTTAACTTATCGCGTGAATATGTCTTCGACCCTCAAAATTAAGCAAAAGGCAAACTGAATTATTCAATACGAAATGAAAGCAAATTTGGTGCAGTTGCCCCAAAAAGGCCGAAAAGGGATAGCGCGCAAAGTGTTAGCTGTCACAAATTCGTCGAAAAGCTTACGGTTAAAGGCTGACGTTTCGTCAGCCTTTAAACTCTTTACGGGGGCCAATTTACGTTTTCCACTCACTTGATAACACTAAATTAAGGTTAAAATAGTTTACCAAGTGTTTCATTGCCGAGATCAGCGTAATATATAGTTTCTTTAGAGAAATGCACATCTAACTCTTGATCATTAACCCTCAGTGATAAATCAATAAAAACGGGAAATTAGCTAAGCGGTATAAAGAATTTACGATTAATTCGTTGATTATCTGGGCCACCCTGGTAACTAATGTCTTCAATTGCTAACTTGAAAATCTTTGTGTGTTCAGTCTAGCGTTTACGAAGCACAGATAAGATGGGTAGCACTGAACAAAACAGCCAGTTTAGTTAGGTTAGCTCTGCTCTTAGGTGCCTTTGAACTATTTGTGCTGGAAGATCACGGATAATGTTTCCTAACAGGTTAAACTTCGTCGTAACCGCATTTAGTTTTAGGGGTCCAATGCTTCTAACACCGGTGGGACTCCCTACCAGATTCAGACTATTCAGGGCAAAAATTGTTTCGAGAATGAGATAAAGACAGCACCTTGGCATCATGATCACCAACAATACTGTCTCATGATTTAATTTAAATTTGTCAAAGCAGTAAAAAATTTAAAGGCATCCAAGGCTACCAACCATTGATATGACAACTTAAGATTCCATTGCAATTCCCAAGTATTCACTCTGAGATCTTCTGAAAGTGTTTGAGGATCACAGGCACTAAGGAGGTTTGCAAACAAAACTCAGAGAGGCCACTGTCTAATTAACTTTAGGGGCTTTGGATAAAAGATGTGGACACACCATTTTGATGGATTCAGATGTTTCTGAGCTGTATTAGCAATGAGACTTGCACCAATAACCCAAGCTGTAAAAACATTGACCACGTTTCCAAGAAACTGTAGGTCACTCAGAGTGTAATGCTTCATATATTTATAGAGCACCATCAACAACAGATATAAAACTGGGGCTAGAAGATATGATGGTCAGTTTTTTTGAATATTCTACTCTAGATTTGTTTAAAATATACACAGTGACATTTTTAAATTGCATTTAGGATTTAAACAATTGATAACTTTCACTTTCACTGTCTTTTCCAAAGACTGTTTTCAGCCACACTTTTCTCAACAATGACAAAAAGCTGCATAGCTGACAGGGACAACAGTTCCCTTAAAAACTCACAAAGCTTATCTTCATTGCCAATACACTGAGGAGATGAAAGTTTGGAGTCTAAATTGTAGTAATTGTCATTTATTTTACGAACTGCAAACCAATGAGGCCTTTTGATAGGTACTTCCAGCCAAACTAGGTTAACATTTGAAGGTTTATTCACAACAAATCCAAAGATGTGTTGAAGGTTTAAACATTCAACTTTCCTGCAAGGAAAAAGTATATAGAATAAAATCATTCCTGCTTTCCAGTTTTTGCTCTGACAAAGGACTACTGCTTGAAATGTCAGCTTTAGAAACTCCTTACAGAGGACAGTTTACATCATCAACTCATTTAATGAAACCAAATTACCTTATTATACCCCTAGACTAAATAAGCACCTCAGTTTCTTCAAAAACTTGCCCCCTTTATTCATTTGCTTATCAGTAGTTTACTTCTCCTTTCTCTGAATTTTTAAGTTAAAATTAGTACCTGAGAGATCATACTACTTTTAATTGGTACAGTTTGTTGGCCAGTAGTCTAAATCTACTCAAATACTGCTGAGTGGCTCCATAAGAGTGCCACTCTCATGAGATTTGTACCTCTCTAATCTAAGCTATAAAATAGTTCTAGGCACTTCAAACAGAAAATACCACATTTAAACTTTCATGGAGTTACCTATCATAAGATAACTATAACCTTTCAAGGGATGGACATTTGTTCACAGTAGCATTAAGAATCTTTGAATGCCTGATAAGAAAGCTTAAGATCTTGGAGGTCATATTGAATATCATCCTCGGGAGCAACTTCAGAATACCCCGCAACTCATTTACATGTCATTGAATAAGAATAGCGTCTATTGTGTTATGCCTCGATCTTCAAAGCCTCCCGACACATGTAAGTGAGGCGGACCAGAGTTGCGGGGTATTCTGAAGTTTAGCCATCCAGCTCTTCTCTGATAAATTTGTGTTTATGTGTATTATAAACTTACTCTAAATCAGCTATCGAGTACATGTCAAGTAAACAAAAATTGTCTATTATCCTCAGCTTTTTTCCTACTAAATTAGCTTTTACTTCTCCGAGACTACTCACAATCTCTTGTCAAACCACACTGCTTCATATTCCCTCCACTGCAAGGCCACCATCAAAACATTCACGTCATAATTTCCCAAGCCAAGCATATTTTTGTGCGGATTGACGAAAGCGTCTGGGCTAAGCCGGTAGCTGATGGCATCTAGATCTGCCTTACTGTAAGCATTCTTGTCTTGGAAAAGGTTGTTTAAGGTATGAACTGCGCAAAGCATTTGTCTTTGTCGCTCATGATAGATCTCCATTCTTGCTACAAATTGGCTGGAACATTAATGATTCTTTACACAAACGAATTATTCATGTAGAAGAAATCCCGCTGTCCACGGTAACGTGTTGATTCGCTCATCTTTCGCACACAAACAACTATATAAAATTGTTTTGAATTAATTTTTCTAGAGATTAAATTTCTTATAGATCGATTATTCAGTTTCTGTCTCTTTAACGAAACCCAACATCGTCGACCCTCAAATCCTTGTTTTAAAAATTTCCAATCTAGATGTTTTTGAGGAGACCTGGGAACAATAACATCAATAACACCACGCAAGCGTTAGCTGATGAAATTTGCCTTATTTACAGTGAAAAACCCTTAGACTATTTATATTGTTGTTATTATTGTCAGAGGGACTTGTGTTGCATCACATTTCCTCAGGAAACCAGCGTTTGGTGAAATCAGTGGCTTAAAGCAGACGATTTTGCACACTTTCTACCAAACTTAGAGTGTTATTCCCACAGTACCGACAGGGACTGCATACGATCTAATCAAGCTCATACTGTAGCTAACGCTGGCTTACCTTGTTGATTCTAGAGTTCCAGATATTTTCAGCAAGGAGTGGTCTTGATGATCGACGATTTCGGTGGGCATTATTCAATTTTATCAAAAAGAAACGTGGAAAGTTTCTTGAAAGCTTTAGTGATAATGCCAAAATAGATAAGGAGTATACGATATTAAGAGCTGCCTTGTAGATTTTCTATTGATCATGATAGGATTTATGTTACGAGGGTGATTAAGGATACTTAGATAAACTCCAGGTTCGAAGTATTTAAATATATGCTATTTCCATTTATGTATTTGAGGTTATTTCATTTCAAAGTTATTATTATTTGCGGTTGAGACCCATTTCTTTCTATTTCATTTTCTGGTCATCAAATTTTTGTTATTTGTTTTTTTTTAGGTCTTCTTGGTGTAATTTACATAAAAAAGAATGAGTGCGCTTACAGAATCAATCAATGTGGAGGAGAAATTCTCAGGATCATCTTTGAATGGTAGACAAGAAGGATCTCTAGAGAGTGCTAACAACCTATTTGCTCCAGACAGTGGTGGGGAATTTGACTGTGATGGTAGCAACACATTAAATGGTGCAGAAAATGCAATTGATCCACGGGTAGGAACAAATTTATGATGGCCTGCCTAGAATTATGATGAATATTTTGATTTCTGAGCATTTTTTTTAATAGTAACTTTTCATTTTCAGTTGTTTTTGTTATATTTATTTGATAAATCAATCATATGGAATGAATCGTTTTGAATTGCTGATGATGAAAAGTATGCAATTGATCCTCCTAGGTAAACTGTAATTTAAGTAATTACAGCAAAGAAGCCTGAAAAACTCAGGCTTAGATGGGACTCAAAACCTTGCCTTCTAGATACTAATTCAATGCTACTGTGTACTGAATTATGAAGCCACATGTAAGAAGTGAGGCAAGTTGGGGTCTCTGTTCACAGTAAAAGGAAATAAGCCATACCAACCTTTACAACCAATTAAGATATGCAGTCACACATCAGAAAGAAAGGGAAAATTCTGAAAACTTGCTTTGATTTATGGAAAAGTTGATTTGTGATATTTTCATGTATGTTCCAGGTTGCCTTGATCAGTCCAGATGATGAACAATTTGATATTTTACTACAAAAACTCAAGGAAAGGTTAGATGAAGGACATGGTGAAACTATCTATGAAGTTGGTGTTGGGGGTAAGTAATCTTAATACTGTTTTCTTGAATGAGTGAATTCATAAATTTTTCATTCTTAAGTGATTTTTCTTCATGCTGTGGCTAAATTAATGTGGAAAAGCTTGAAATATAGGGGCCATTTAATCGTCTTATGGCTCATGGAGCAGATTCCATGAGAAGGAAGTAATGGAATGAAATAAACTACCACTCCTTATGGAGGTGTTTTGTGGTAATAAGGAGGTAATGTAGTGGTTATTATTGGACTATTTTTGATGAGATCATCAAGAGCTGATTTATTCAGCAATTCTCCCTTCTTGCCTTTATGCGCTGCCACCTGGTCAGCTCAGGTTGTAATGCACCAGACTACTGTGTGTGGCATGAAGGGTTCATTCCCTGAAGTGGACCAACAATGAGGGTCTTAAAATAGTTGAGGGGAATGAGCTGCTTTTGCTACAACAGTTGCAAATGGTTAGACAGTCTAGTATTCCCTGATAAGAATGATAAATTGTAGGCCTTTCTCCTGCTTCTTTTCTGTACTGGTGAGCAAGCGTTGTTAAAGAACCCACACACTTCTATGAAGATCAGGAAATGTAGCTCCCAGTGTCAGACCTTGATTTTCAAAATGGGAACATCTGCCTAAATTTCTTTCAAACTGCTCAATGTAATCTGGTTTAAGTGCAAAGTGTTACAAAGTACAATGAGTTATGGTGCTGTAGAAATCCTTCATGATCAAGGTTATAAATTTTTTTGTGGATATTTTGGGAGAATTTGGTGCTATATGGTAATAACACCCTCTAGCTGAGGGTGTGTATTCTCATCACTGGTTTGCCAAATTCTCCTGATGGATGTAGCTTCAAACAATACAATGCTCAATTTGATACTTGTCATCAGATGTACTTATTGATTTTCAATTGTAGATGGAGCAGCAAGTGGACTCAGTGAAGAGGATCTCAAAGCATCAGTAGATTCCTTGAAACTATTAGCCGAGTCTTGTAATGCTGATGTTGTCCTGCTAAGAGAGAAGCCAGCAGAGGAGGGTACTGTTGCTGAATATCTTGTCCGTAATAGAGTGGATGAGAATGATTTCATGGAAGTGAGGTGAGCAACCTTGAGTACCTGGTAATGCCTTTATTCCTTTTCCCCCATTCTTGTATTAGGCACCTGTAACTCGCGTTACGAGTTTCAGGTGAAAAATAGTGTAAAAAATAGACTTAAGGTGGCGAGAAAGCCCAGTAGAATCCCAGTAGATGCTGTATTGAGAAAAGTAAAAAAAAAATGATCTTTGAAACCCTTTATTCAATTTTGTTCAAATTCTATGTGGACCTGAGATGCATGACTCAAGCTTGCTTTTTCTTTGTTGGGAGGTGGGGGAGGGGTTGGGGCCTCTTTAGACCAACAAAGGGTTCAGGGCCTAAGAAATGTTCAGATCTTTTGTGAACAGAAGGTTAGGGAAAGTAGCATACTCCAAAATGGCTTCATGCTTAGTAATCTTCTTTATCCTGGTTGATAATGTTGTCTTAATCCATCTATTTTGGTAGGGTGGCAGTGGTAGGCAATGTAGATGCTGGCAAAAGCACTTTACTTGGTGTACTGACTCATGGAGAACTCGACAATGGCAGAGGCATGGCAAGACAGAGGCTTTTCCGACATAAGCATGAGATGGAATCAGGAAGAACAAGTAGTGTGGGAAATGATATCCTGGGATTTGACAGCAGAGGAGATGTGGTGAACAAGCCAGATACCCATGGTTAGAAAACTCTTTTAAAGAAATTATTGTGTATACTATATACCCATGTTAGGAGAAGGCACAGTGCCCCCTCTTGTCTAGGCAGTAAAAGATAAAAAGCTCTTTTAGTAGTCTTTTAAGGGATTTACAAATACCTTTACAGATCCATATTAACCAACCCAATTTAACAGTGCTTTTAAGCGCTGTTAATTTGAGTTGGTTGATAAGGAAGGATGTCTGATATATTTATATATTTGTGTCCCAGGAGGAGGACTTGATTGGTCCAGGATATGCCAGAAGTCTTCAAAGGTTTGTTGTAATTCTATCTTCTTCCTTTTTTTGTTGACAGAGGGGAAAGCTGAAAATTTTACCTTTATATTTGTGACTTTTTTTAATGCTGGCACACTCTGACAATACAATACAAAGGGGACAATAATTGAAAAACTATCTAAAAGTAAGGGTTTTGTTTTTGTTCTTTCACAGGTCATCACTTTTATTGATCTGGCAGGGCATGAAAGATACCTAAAAACAACAATTTTTGGAATGACAGGACATGTGCCAGACTTTGCTATGCTGATGGTGAGATGTCACATTGATGTGCAATAATTTACTTTTGCTTTATCCACCTAAATTTTCTTTATTGATTGAGGATTGACCATAGCAATAATTTTTGTTGTTTGGACAAAGTGCAAACAAGAAATTGAGAAAGGAAAAATTACATGAAAATAGTCTTTTTACCACTCTGAGTTGAATTGGGAATTTAAAAGAAATCCCTAAAGAACTTGACAATCGAGGTCTATCTCGTAAGTTTTCAGGCGAGTCCTTTTCTCAGGGAACCAAAAGTAATTTTAGTATGGTGTATGGTGTTTCACAAAGATCTTTGTTTTTGTTGTTATTTTTTTCTCATTTAGATTGGGTCAAATGCAGGAATTATAGGCATGACAAAAGGTAATAGGATTTAGTAGGATATAGATAGATACAGTCCATTTATAGAGGGTAGTTTCATGTTTGTGAACAATGCCTAGTGAGGATATGGTTTGCTTTGGTATTGAAAGTGATAAATTTAGTAAAATGTAGAAAATTCAGCCTCTGATTACATATCCATGTTAAGAAAATTGCGCTGACAGGCTTGTGGTTGCAACACTTTACTCTTTTACTCGCCTTCTCTGCCTAAGATTACAAGTAGGTCTTGATGACTTGCAAGTGCAGCAGGGAGAAGTAATAGAGGGCCACCTGCAGTTTATTACTATCTGTCTTTATATTGCTCTTTTGGACAAAGTTTCACAGCATTTTTTTATTCATTTATTTTTTTACTTACCAGAGCATCTAGGTTTGGCCCTAGCACTCAATGTCCCAGTGTTTGTGGTGGTGACCAAGATTGACATGTGCCCGCCCAATGTGCTACAGGACACTATGAAACTCTTATCCAGGATTCTAAAATCACCTGGCTGCCGTAAAATCCCTGTCATTGTTCAAAACAGTGATGATGTGGTTGTCTCAGCGACGAACTTTGTTTCTGAAAGGTAAGAGCCCAAGTTAAGTTCATGAAAGAAAATGAGGGCCACATTCCATATTCATCAAAACGGCTCGAGCAAGCAAAGTTAGTTGGTAGTTTATTATAAAGCACTCGGACCAAACTTGTATATTTGAATTTGCCGGCGTTCGCAAACAAAAATACACAGCTTATGCCGTCCGTATAGCAAAATTGCGACCAAGTAAGAACCAATCAGAACACCCGGATTTACCTCAGGACTACATTACTAAATAATAAATATGTGTCTCAGGTCAGAACTAATTGAAAGCACATTGTTGCAAGTGCCAGAAAAGCTGCTGATTTCAAGACTAGTCTGTAACTAATCAGTTAGCGTTTGTTTTTCTCAGCTAGTTCATTTGTTTTTTTCGGAGAACATTTTTGGGCTACTCTAGGACCATGCAAGACTTTAAGCCCACATAAGAGTAAATCTTCAATAGTTATGGAAGTGAGAGCAAACCTCAGATGACGTGTACGCCTCGATCTTTCTTTTGAATTGTTACATCATGACTGTGTGAATAAAACAAAATGATCGAAGGGTCCTTTGTAAAGGCCAAAAATCACTGATCTTCAAATCACTTTTACAGGTAATCACGATATTCAGATGTGGTTCTTTCATTTTTGCCAGGGTTTGCCCAATATTTCAGATTTCCAACGTAACCGGTGAGAACTTGGACCTGTTAAAGATGTTTTTGAATTTGCTCTCAATTCGAGCTCACTTCAGGAAAGATGAACCATCTGAGTTCCAGATCGACGACACTTACTCAGTACCGGTAAATAAAAATGTCTTTGTTAAATATCAGATAAAGCAAATTTAACTGAACGAAACAAACCATAAATGAGAAATATTAACAATTTGTGTGCACCAGAAACTATAAGTTTGGTATATTAAGATCTAACTAATATTCCTCTTTTCCAAGTTCCATAATTTTCTTATCGTTAGCTGGGATAAATTGTTGCCCTTTCTATGCCAGATCTCCAAATTCGTGCTTGCCTTTATTCGCACTACCTTTTTGTTTTACTTTGTACTCGCACAAAAGCATGTAACAGGGTTTTCATGAAAGCAAGTTATCGCTGGTTTATCGCCGGCCCATAAGTCCTCTCACCGCTGTCTGTTAAGCTTGTGAGCGGGCTCTCTTGTTTAAATTCCGCCTTACGGTCTCTTTATTGGCACAGCCGCCTATAACACCATCGGCTGCCGTTTATGGAAAAATTTATTGAAACCCCCAGAATTCTTTGCTATACGCTTCTGATTGGTATCAAGAAGGAGAGTTACTTGTCTTGAATCAAAGTTTTGGATGATTTAGGGTGTTGGTACAGTTGTATCAGGCACGTGTCTCCGAGGTACCATTCGACTGAATGACACCCTTCTACTCGGCCCAGATCCTTTGGGTCAGTTTCAACCAATCACGGTGAAGACAATTCATCGCAAGAGAATGCCAGTAAAGGAACTCCGTGCGGGACAAACGGCTTCCTTTGCTCTGAAAAAGGTGGGTAATATCTGAAAATCGTATATTTGAACGGTGGGTAGCTATTTTAGAGTATAAAAGGAAATCATAGTTATATTGGATGTGGAAATATAGACTGAGCAAAATTCGGATTAAAGTCGGAAATCGATGTCCTGATCGCCTCGCGGGAGAGTGGGAAGGGGGATTTAGGAGCCATACCGTCCCATCTCATTGCATGTTAATTCTTCGTCTTCATCGAAGGAAGATTAAGTAATAGATTACGTAAAGTACAGGGCTGCGAGGATATTATTTCCGGTGTCACCAAATGTAGTATGTTTTTTTTTTTTCGCCTTCAGATAAAAAGATCACAGATACGTAAAGGAATGGTTATGGTAGATAGACAAGTGAAGCCTCAAGCATGCTGGGAATTCGAAGCCGAGGTGTTGGTTCTTCACCACCCGACAACCATCAGTACAAAATACCAGGCAATGGGTTAGTATGCTGAGAAGGTTAAATACTAAAATATTGCAGCGATTCTAATGGAGCTTTGGATGGTCGATAGAAAAAAGGCGGCCGAGCTTTGAAAACGAGAAGCGCACTTTTAACCCATAAACTAGGGCTTCGTTACTCTTCTTCACGGCTTTGCGAATCAAAGCCTTAATGGCGCATTCAAAAGCGCCAGTCGAGTTGGCTATGGAGCTTTTGTTTATTTTTAAGCTGTTAACTATATCTAAGACAGATAGAGCGCTTTTATACAAGGCATCGCTTGCATCGTAGACAACCCTTACTACGGGTGTCTATGACATGCCGTAAGGAGACGATGCTCGTATTTGAAAATAGAGAGACGACTGGGAACGAGTCGGCGTCTCTGTACATGTACTAATGTATATTTACAATAATCAGACACAATCTTCAATAACGGATCTTCCTTGGACAAAATTTACTCATGTGATATTTATGTGATTTTTTTGGTCAGTTCACTGTGGGAGCATGCGGCAGACGGCAACAATAATTCATATGGATAAAGACCACCTCAGAACAGGAGATAAGGCGATGGTGCGTTTTCGCTTCATAAAACAACCGGAATTCGTCAAACCGGAAACCAGAATGATCTTCAGAGAGGGAAGAACAAAAGCTGTCGGTACTATACAGCAGATCGATCCAACTGCGCATCCTCCGCCTCAGGTTGGCGGGAAAGTCAAACATCGTGGACCGGGTAGAGGCACCGCACAGTCACGCGACAAAAGCAAAGACGGAGCAAGTGCGCAGGCGTCAACAAGCTCAGAAAGAACAGGGAAAAAATGACTTGATAGTAACGTAGTTTTCTCATATTTAATTCCATTTTTAAGGTTTTTAAGATCTTACTTGATTAGTTTTAACATGGTTTTTTAAAAATTTAGAAATTTAGGACCACTATGGTCGTTGAAAATTTTAACATTTCTTTTATTTCTGTATTTTCTTCGGTCATGTGTTGAGGACCAGGCTTTCGTTCAGAATCCCTCTAGTCTTCGATTTGACCATTTATTATTCTTAATTCAAAGCAAAAGAAAAGCAGTAATTTAAACTAAGTCATTTTAGCCGGCAGCCAGGGTAGAATTTCAGCGAAATAATGAAAATACTCTGTGTTGTCAGTCTCTACTTTCCTCTTTCTGTATGTTCTTTGGTGAAATAACTCCTATCTCACGTCTTCCCAACAAGCATTTGTATTGTTTACCACAAAACATTTCGACGAAAATTTCGCATGTCCTCAAACAAAATTATGGCTTCGCCTTCATAGGCGACAGTAGCCGTAAAAGTCCTCCCCTGATTTATCTGGGAAAAAAAACCTCAGACAAAAAGTATCTTGTGGTCCGTCCTCTTTTTGTGTCTGAACGACTGTTAGTGCTACGCTTACCACCATTTCCCAGTCAGTTACAAGATCAAACTTATTTCGTCACAATTAATTTTACTGCGGGAACAAAACAGACAATTTCATTCTCAATAAACCTCTTCCAAAGGGGTGGTGTAGTCCAAGGTAGTTTAAAGCGAATTTGATTGGTAGAAAACGCCATAGCACGTGAGAGTTGCGTGGAAAATTGCCTAACATAACCAGAATTTCGTTTCGTTTCTTCAGTAGGTAAGACTACGTCGCAAAACCAGTTTTTTTTTATTGAAAAAAGTCGTGTTATTAGGCGAAGGTAAAGAGGGTAAGTTTCTAAGGAAACTGTAGTGTTGCGTCGATGGGAGAGTATAACAGGGTAATTTAGTATTATTGACTGAGTTGATGACGTAAATTGGCCACCGTAAAGAGTTTAAGAGCTGACGTTTCGAGCGTTAGCCCTTCGTCAGAGCGATTGACGAAGGGCTCTGACAAAGGGCTAGCGCTCAAAACGTCGGCTCTTAAACTCTACGGTGGCGAATTCACGTTATCAACTCAGTTGTTGATACTAAATTACCCTGTTACTGGGAAAAACCTGTCAAATTTGACGATAGAGTAACCTCGTGACTGTTTTGAGGAAATTCTTTTGAACACAGGAAATAAATAATAATACAAACAAGCAGCAAAAGTTGTTAAACTTTAACTAACCCAAATCAAAAGCGAATCTAGTCTCGTACCCACATTCGAACGTGTAGTGAAATGTAAGATCCTTACCACTGCTTGGCCATGAAAGGCTTAGGTATGAGATTGAAGTGAATCTCTATTTCGTAATCCGAGTCCAGAATCCCGTCATCTCTTACCCAAATTCTGAAACCCTTGGCAAAAGGGTTGTTGCAGTTTGGCTTAAAACAATTGAAAAGAAACCTGAACGCACAGATCTCAGGATACTGGCAAAAAAAACCAAGAGAATAAAATGACGATTTCAATTTTAATTAGATTGTTAAGTCTGTCGATACTCAAAAGAAATGCAAGACAGAGGAATAGACGCTATTTGATATTTGTGATATTTGAGCTCCTCACAGGTGTGTGTAAGAAAAGTCGACAAGAAACTGGGAACTAAAGATTACGCAAATAATATTACCCAAGATGCTCCGAGGGAGTGTCGTTGGCAAGTTCAAAAGACCACCGTATAGTTGTGAAAACTTATGTGAAAATGCCGGGGAAAATTGCACTGAATCCCCTTCCTCCAGGCACGAAACAGCCTGGTCTAGCACAGTCACTGTTGTACAGTGGCAGTAAATTCCAAGGTCATCAAAAAAGTAAAGGGAATCGATACGACGTCGAAGTTGTATTGAAGGTAAGTTCGCGTGAGCCGTGTCACGACTCGAAGGGATAATTTCCCGCCGTCCGCGTTTGTTACTTTGTGGTCTTAAAATTTTAACGTAGTCTTCAAATGAATGATTTTTATGGTGTGTATGTAAATTTCTTTTAGCACGTTGACCAGGAGAAGGGTTTTCTCTGTGGATATCTGAAAATAAAGGGCCTTACAGATGTGAGTAAAAATTTTGCCGATGTTCTTGCGTTGTTATTGTCTAGATCGCTCTTGAAATGTACTGATCAACGTCTGTCCGCTTCAATGATCTTGACAGTTCAGCCGAAACTTGGATTTATTCGTCGTTTTTGATTGAACTGATTTCGTACCTGACTGAATTAACCGTGTTAAATTATATCAGATAATACAGTTACGTACAGATGTTTTTTTTGCATCAAAGACTCGTTGTTTTGTCTGAACGCTTCACAGTGCAAGTATATAGTCCATCTAACAGTAGCAAATGATAATATTATAAAAATCTGCAGACGGGTGTTAATGATGTAGCGTTTTTTTTTCTCTTGAAACGCTGCATCACTCCATTACTTAAATTTTATTTACTTTTTGTCGCATCAGGTTAATGCTTTTGTTGTGCGCGATTTTGTTATGATTTTCTTTCTAATAGTTCTAAACAACATTTGTATAAAAGTAACCGGAAGTTTATTCCTATGCCTTAACTTTGTAGTTTAAGGCAATGGATTGATACAGTTGTTTAATCTTACCAGACAAACCCATATTGAAGGGAAACCACCATAGTTATACGAGTTGCAAGCCCCTATTTATAATTCTGTAACTGATTACAAATTGCTTGTCTCTAGCACGTTAACAGCCTAAAGTGGGTAGTATGTTCCTGAAAATATTTGTACAATAGGCCACACTTTCTATCAGTTTACCTGCATAATAATGCATGTTGGATGTTGGGAGAACAAGAAAATGTAAATCACAGATAAATGACGAGCAAGAAGGGAAGGAATTAACAAACTTTTTTAGTGTTCTCCCAACATCCTAATTGGGCAATTATGCTGGTAAACTGATGGAAAGTGTGGTCTATTGCTTTTATAAAATATGCTTAGAATGTTTCAGTTTTCTTTGGGTGTACTTTTGCAATAATTGATTGGTTTTTGACCAATCAGGGCATGCATAGTATCTCAGCTATACTATGAATATAGTTTTATATCTGCATTTAAAAGTGTATATTAAATTTTTTTCTGGAGAATAAGGAAAAGGTCTGTCTCATTGACAGGTTTGTTTTTTTATTGATTACAGGAATATCCTAATCTAACAACTTTTTTTGATGGTGAGATAATTGGCGATAAACACCCCTTCTTGACAAGGAAATGGGTAAGGAATTATACAGCATTAGGGTGTCAAATACTAGTTTATTAGAAGACACTGTTTTGCTCCCCCTTGTGACATTTTGTGGCTTACTTTAGTTGGAAGCGCAAGCTGAAGAAGTCATAACTATTAGACCAGATAGCAAGGTTGATGATAAACTGCGAGAACCTTTAGTTAATTTGGTAACAAATTTATGTTTTGTCTCATGAAATGTTCTTTATGATGCAGTATAGATCCAGTCTTAATTTGAAATCAGACCCCATAATGTCAAAATTAATTTGTGTCATATTTTTTTGGCACATTATCATGCTGTCAATTTGTTGAACTAGAAAATTGTGCTTATTGATTTTCTGTAGCTACCTCAATAGTGGTGTCTTGACAACAGTTCAGCATTTCTTTTTTTCTTCTAAAGATGAATTTATAATAAATCAAGGTAATTATTTTGTTTTGTTTTGTTTTTTCTTTATTAGGATGCTGATGAAGATGTTGACAGAAAACACTGGGTAAATAATTTTTCTTTATGGCATCAACTTTTTCTGAAAGCAAAAGTAAAAAACCAGTTTCACTGTATGTTTACCAAATGTATTAAACTTTGTACTGTTAACCACTCTCTTTTGTCTCTTAGGGTAAATTTCTGGCATTTTATCAGTTTGCAAAATCATTCAACTCAGACAGTTTTGATTACAGCCAACTGGACAATCTAGACTTTGTTTTTATGAGATGGAAGGTAAGTCTTTCTAACATTGTATTTTCCATTTCAGGCAGTGCCATATTCTTAACCTTGCTTAACCTCTTTGACCCTTAAGAGTGAAAAGCATCTTATTTTCTCCTTACAATATCACCCTGAATCACTTAATATATAGATTTAACAAAATAAAAGCGTTTCTGATTGGTTTAATTTCCATGCCTATGTTAAATAAATTAAAAAGTGCAATAAAACTTATAGAGTACTGGAGAAGTTGCCATGGAAAAACCTATCTACTGGCAAGTGAACACTTTATTATAAAAAATTCTGACAGCAGGTTATTTTGTCAAACCAAAACATCGTTGAGCAACTTAAAGAAAATGGAAAAACAAAAACACGTTGAAAGCTACACAGACCTGGTTAAATGTCTGGCAAACATGCCATGACCATAAGTAAACCCAAAAACTCTTGCCGGAATAACTGAAATTTAGCTTTTGAGTTCGGGCCCTATTTTCTGTATTTCAAGAACTTCACGCTTGATTTACCTGTCACAACATTTTTTTGATTGGTTCAAATAAAACATGTGAGCATTTTGGAACCAATTGAAGGTTTTTTGTAGTAGGCAGTGACTTTTTTTGTCAAAATATAATAAATAAAAAAATCATGAAACCTGCTTGATTGCATTTAAGTGATTTAACTCATTCTTATTCTTTGAAACTTCTTTTTGAGAAGGATACAATATTTTATAACAAAAAACCTTCAAAACATCAGGTTGTGCCCAAAAATCAATTTGACTATACTTTTATAGCCAATACCAGTCCCTTCAAATGGTAAAGGTCAGGAGAATAAAGTAAATAATCAATAACTTGAAAAGCTCTTGATTGACCAGATTCTGCTTGTCAGTACCATAGGAAATATGTAGATAACAGTATGGAGAATATCCATTCTGATGTTGGGGTAAAATGGTTTAAACAGGTCCTATAACCTTTCAATTTTATGACAAACCAATTTTTTCCTTTGATTTACAGGAACATTTCTTAGTTCCAGATCACACTATCACAGACATAACTGGAGCGTCATTTGCAGGGTTTTATTATGTTTGTTTGCAAAAATCAGCCGCCACCATTGAGGGTTACTACTATCACCGAAGCTCTGAATGGTTAGTTCAACTTTTTTTGTACTCCTATTGTGCTTGACAGTGTATTTGCTCTTGCATTTTGGACAATGAAAAAACTGAAACACAACTTGTAAAAGCCTTTCAAAAAGAAGCTTTCTATTTTTTATTCCCAGAAAGTTTACTTTTAAGCCTCGACTTGATTTTTCCAGACTCATTTCCAAGCATGTTTGTTCATGGGTTTACATATTGCTTTATTTTTGCTTGACTCTGTTCTGTGATTGGTCCAGATTAGCTGTGCCATCCTTTGAACCAATGAAATGCAAAACTACAACTAAATACAACTTGGTGGCTTCCAGCACTGTAGGCAGTTTGGTTGGTTTTACATTGAGTTCTCATTGCCCCAAAGAACATTTTCGTTTCTTGTGATTACTTTTGTTTTGGTTTTTCAACACTGTATAAATTGTAAGATTACCTAATTCCACCTTTCCTTCCTTTCCAGGTTTCAGTCCTTAAATCTTGTCCATGTTCCTGATCACAGTCAACCCATTTATGAATTCAGATGATATTGAACAAGAAAACAAATCTTTATACTCTTATATGCTTCTTAATGAATATTTTTAGACTTCCTCTGGCACTTCCATGATGATATTATGATATATGCTTGGTTTACAGCTCAAGTCAGACAAGCTTAGTAGATATTTTCCATAAAATCAAAATAGTGTTTGAGGTTTTACATTCAGCATGCATGGTGTCATGTTGTAAAGATTATCGTCCAGTGACAAGTTATTATCACGAAGAGATAATGATACCTTGGCAGGTGTTTGTTTTCTGTCTTGTTGCAAATAGTTATGGCATACACAGCTACACATATAATGTGAATTAAATTATATGCAGCTGTTGAATTTGATTACTTAAATGAGAAGATTGATCAAGAATGTTATTTCTTTTAATTAATCAGCACTACTACTGCATACATTGTAGTGTATTTCGAAGAATATTTGGAATGAAAAGTCAAAAATTGGTTGTGTTGTTGCCATCTATTCCTTTGTTTGGCACTTCTGTATGGAGAAAGTTGAGTACAAACAATCCTAGCTGTAACCTGGAACATTCTCAGTACTCTGTAATGTATATTTTCAGAGATGTATCAACAAAGTTCACAATCAATTTCAAATTGCCAACTTGATGACACCACAAGGGTATGTTTGTCTCTATATTGTCAGAAAAATGACCAATTAATTTATGATTTCCTTTTATAGTTCTTATTGACAAATTGATACCATTAGGGGGATATGGAGTACTTTTACAGGGAGCTCCAACCATATCCAAAAGGGGATTTTGTGCGCATCTGGCTAATAAAGTTAAATCTAATCAAAGTGTTTAACCCTTTTACTCCTAACAGTGATTAACATGTAACTTCTCCCTATAATATCCATACATTGTCCACCAAACATGAGGATATTCAAACTTATCAGGTAGAGGTTGGTGGTTCTGATTTATCACCAAATTCTTGGGACTTATTTATGAGGAAATGTGTAGCAGCTAGAGAGGAGAATTGATAATCAGATCCTGGGAATTAAAGGGGTTAATGTGACCAAAATCTCATAGATCTCTTTCTCTGTGTGTTGTTTTATGTTTATACTTAGCAAAGGAGTATTAAACCTCTTTTTCATGGTTTTAATGGTTGAAATAATTGTTTTTAGATTACTAATATTAAGAGCTACACATACTGAGAATTGAAAAGTTTTAAATTAGCTTGATGGCTCTTAGAAATTGAAGTACCTTCTCGTGTTTCAGCATGCTCTGTACAATAAGCATTATTTGAGTTAAGAACGTCTGAACTTTGTCTTTGTACTGTAACATGTGGGTATCAACTTTTATTTATATTCTAGTCCTTTTGAATGTTAAGTGCTAAGTGATGGTTGAAGTATTACTATAAATTCATCAAAATTTGTGATATCCCCCAATGAGTTGCAAATATATTAAAAATGCTACAGCCCTCCATAGAGTATATACAGTTATCATTATTGCTTGCATTCCTCACAAAGGGGTTCTACCCCTATGGGGTCTCAAAGTGTTTGTTGGTTCTAAGACTCTGCTTGCAAGAGATAAGTATACTCTTAAGGGATCAGTATCTGGGCAACAGCCCACCTACCCCTCCCCTGACTCAACAACAGTCAATTGATAACAACTTAGGGTTAATGTTGGGTTGGGGGAGGGGTAGGTGGGCAGTTGCCCAGATACTGATATTGATGCCTGGTAAGCTTCAGGGTTTTGGAAGCACAGGAAGGGGGTGAGATTCAGAGTTGTAGATGTAGGAATTTTCAAGGCAGTCACCCTCTAGAATAAAAATCTGAGAAGCAGAGAGTGCAATTAAAAAAAAAAACAAATTTCACAAAGACAATTCTGAAAAAGCTTTTGAGGTTGAGTGGTTGTGAAGCATCATCCTCTGTAGCCACAAGGTTAGGTAGGTAACCTCGAAAGGTCTGGCATGTTATCACGAAGGTTGCCTTTTCTACAAAACTAAGAAATTTGCTCCAATATCATAGGACCCACATTTTATTTTTTAGATCTTGTAAAGGTAACACAATTATCATAAATAGCTATCACATGATTAATTTCAAATTACTTCCTCTTTTTATTTTCTCCTTTAATCAACCGAAGCCCTAATGGTATATTAAATACTCCTACCAACTTTTTATTATTTTAATGTCAAAAAAATATTTCTCTCCAACTCAATTGGGTTGGACTGCTCTACTTTCAAGAGACCTCGCTGAAGGAGGCTGGGTTCATCTCCTACATAGTCCCTAGTTAGATAGCCTATACCTTGCTATTCTACATCATAAAATTTTTTGTCAGTCATTTTTTAATGACTACAAAACTCTTTTAATGTCACAACAAAACAAGTGTCATGGCTGCTCTACTTATGGTTGTGAGAGGGGCATGTGGCAAAGTGGTTATTATGAAGGGTAAGATTTGGGTTCAAGCCCCTATCATCTCCATTACATTTTTTTTTTAGGCTAGAAACTTTTTCTTTTGTCAGTAGTAGCAGTCATAACCTAGGATTATACTTGTTGTTTCAGGAACAAACTACTAGCACTGGAAGACTTCAGTATAGTAATGGTTAAAGTGAAACCCTTCTGAAACTGGAACTTACAATATCTGGGTCTCCAAGCTGATAACTGATACACATATCATTGCAGCTGCTGGCAGTTGGATGTCAAACTGGATGCAAAGCAATTAAATAAAACCTTGTTAAATAGCATCTAAAGTTAAGTACATGAGTAAAAGCCAACTACATTTAAGCTAAATCTTGTGTATTCTTTACACAAGTTCTGAGCAACTTGTCTAATAATTAATGTCAATTTAACATGCATTATTTTTTAAACATATTTACTCTAATATCAATTTAATCATTTTATTATATCTTGCTCATATTTGTTTATTTTGTATAATACATAATTAACTACTTATCTCCTTTGCAATACACTATGATGCATTAATATTAGTCAATTCATTTTACAATGTAAACAATTGGATCTTACAAGTTCCTAAAAAAACTTTACTGAAAAATACAGTTTTGTTAAAAAAAAAAAGTCACAGTTTTCAGAAAAAAATATCCACATTGGTAAGGGAAATCCTTTTAATCATATTCTGCACCAATAGTAATGCTGAGCTCTCCGGGCAAAACCTTTGTTGAATGATACCACTGGTTTGTGTCCACAATGACTGCAAATTAAAACAGGATATTTTGTATACTTTAAAATTGATTTTTAGATTTTGAAAAAGTGAACCCCATGAATATTCAATATCATCAATGGGAAAATTGTTGTTTGGAGTGGGGTTTTTCAGTGTTAAAATGTAACAGAATTACTAGTTTTAATTACGTTACCAACATTAAATTTTCTCAGATTGTTGATGGGTTGTTTTTTGTGGGGTTGCAGGTTTCAAATACTTGAATTTTCTCTCAGTGTACAACCGTATAAGAGTCAAAAAGGAGGGTAACATTTAATATATCATAAAACTGGTGTACAATAAGCACATGCTGGAAAAAATCAGTTTGACAAGACCAAATAATAAATAAATTTTGTACCAACAAACTTGCAAACTATAAATATATATATATATATATATATGTATATATATATATATATATATATATAACTAACTGCAGACAGTACTGTTTCGGCCTTCTGGGCCTCATCAGTGCAGTACTGATGCTAGGATGGAGGTAAGGCAATATAGCCACCCCAAGTGATCTCACACATGTGGTATCATCTAAGCCATGCCATAATTGTATAAAAAGTCCAGTAAATGCACAAACTAGAAGAGTGATCAAAGTAAAGTATTTGTAGAGGTGGTATCAGATTTCATGCTTTGTTTCCACCTTCATATTATCTTTGTGGTCATTTGCTGTTTCCTCCTGGACAGAAAAAAAACACAAGACTCTGTTACTTACTGACTTCTCCTTTATTCATCGTGGTGGCTAATTTGGGAGTACAGACATGTTCACACTCTGGTGGAGGGATGAGAGTCCATATCTTTTGTCCTGACAGCTGAGCTTGCCATGATGGACGATCCACGCTATCAATCTTCAAAACAGAAAGTGTTAACATTATGGTCAATAAACCAGGCTGAATAAATTTTCAAAGCTAAAGCACCTCAGTAATAAAGAGACGAGTTTATTTGAAGCCATAAATAATGGAATTTAATACTAGGGAAGTTTTTGCAGAGGCTCCACAGTATCTGTGGTAACACCTCCTTCTAAAATTTGACACTTCAGAAAAGTCACTATTGTTAATGGTAATGCCACCTTACGAAGAATGGATGAATGGTTCCTACCCTGATTAAGTATACCATAAAGTATACGGCAACTATTAGTGACCTAAACACTACTAAAATTTAAACTTTTTACAAATTATGTATAAACATTGACAGTGAGTGTAAAAATCATCATGAAGTTTATTTTTAAAGTAAGAAACATAATCAGAGTTGCACATTAGAACAAATACAGGTAACCAAGGATAAGAATAAACTCACATGTATCTGAGCCCCAGGTCCTGGCCCTCCCATGAAAATCCAGTCCTGTTCACTGGTTTCTGATTGTTTTGGCAAGAAATATGGTAATTGATAATGAGTGCGCAATTCTTGTCTGATTACAGGGTCACAGTTGCTCCTGAAAACCAAAGACATACTGCTGATAAGGTTCAAAGTTTCTGTGACAGGACAAACTGGAGGGGAGCAAAATCCAAGCCAGTAAAAAGAGCCCTCTGTCAACTTTTGGGAAATACTGAATCAACAAGACCTATTCACTTGAAAATTTATCAATATCATACACTCTCAGACAAATTCCACTTTAGTAACTCACAGCAGGCAATCCCTTGTGGGAAAGATTGGCCCATCTTGCCTGCTTGGGTAGCTGATCAGAACACATGATTTTTTTTGTATTGCTAGCAGGTAATCATGAAAACTGCAACTTTCAAATATTCATGCTGTAAATCTGATGAACAAAATGTTCTTTTTGAGTTTCAAAATGAAATGTTGTTTTAAAGGGCTAGGTAGCAAACCATATGGTGCTTAAAAGTTAAATTAAAATTTTTCAATTTTATTCTTTATTGTCCTCCAAGACAAACAAAACTTGTATGCTAAGTTGATAAAGTGCCGAGCCAATTCCTTTCAAATGAAAGAAACGACTAGATCAAGTCTACAATGCTTGGAGTTCAAATTTTAGCAAAAGGTAACTCCTCAGGCAAATTCACTTCCAAATAGCCTTATTGTGATTATAGTAAAGAAAAACAGTTCTTTGTGAAGTAATGGATACTGTTTTGATATAACATCAAATTCTAAGACTTACCTAAACATACTAATGATATCACACCAAGAAAACGTATAGCAGAGAGAAAGGACAAATTAGACAGTCAGATGTGCTACAGTCCATTACAATTCCGAAGAAAATAAGACACGAATCAATGAACAGGAAGCTAATTTCTCTGACTTAATGAAGGCTGTTAAAAACGAGTCCATCAGTAATTGGGTTTATATCCTGTGTTGCATTAAGAAAAAAAAATTAACGATGAAATCTACCTTAATGGAAAAACGAAAAGTACACAAAAAACTTTAAAAATTAAAGTAGTGTTACTTCACATCAATTTAGTTCACCATTAGTAGTTTTTTTTTTTACATGGAAATGAGTATAAACCTTTTAAAACGACAGCTGCCTAAATACAGCAAGAAATTTTACTTAACCATTCGACAGGTGTTCAAACTATACTCACTGAGAGATCAAAGAGCACTGAAAATCTGACTTTAAAATTTTTGTTTGATTTGTCAAAGAACACGGTTAATTTTGAATTGAAACAAAATATGTCACCATAGTCACGTACCAGCTGCCCGGGTTAAATATCTAATTTGAAAAATCAAATGGCTATTCTAACATCAATATACTCGGCTGCTTTCAACTTCAATCGTATTGTTCGATGTTATTTTCTTACATTTTAATTTCAAAACTCACCATCCGAAATACCATGGTTCTGCTTTCCACTCTGACCTTTCTTTCGACATATTCATGGCCTGTTCAAGAGAAAAAAAATCAGTTCTGTAGGGAAAGAACTGACACTCCTCCTCGTTCACTCGATACGCGTCTTTGTTCTTGTCGAAGAGTTCTTTAAAGAACGTAAAGTTAAAGCGATCAATGGCTGACCAATTTTTCGCACCGTCGACGACTACGACGGGTCTTCCGGTGTAGGCATAGTTTGCAGCGAAATCTTGCTTTGATAAGCCAGAAACCCGAGGAATTTCGGTCAAACCTTCGCACAACAGAGTGCAGTTTGTTCGTTTTCTTGTGACCTCGATGAAAATTTCATTGACGTTCAAAAGACACGGTTCTTCTCTAACATGCAGCAGCTCGATCACGTCGAAGTAGTAACCAGCAAAAGCCAAAACAACAGGTAGAACAACAATCACGAACCATTTCAAGCTTTTCTTGTTAAAACAACTCGATTGTGCACGACCAGTTCCGACCTGCCGTAGAAATTCTGTTCGAATGTTATCCACATTTTCACCGCTTTTCAATGATTTTTCGCGGAGATCAGAAAACAGGACGGCAAGTTCTTCGACACGCGTTGCAGTCGCCATTAACAGGAAGGTAGGAAACGTCTGCTTTGTCTGTAAATTAATCTTCTATTTACCAATGCGTAGTCTCACTTACACATCAAGCCGCTACATCATAAATATTGATCAGCAGATCACAGCTTGAAAGGAAGAAAATGAAATTGGGTTGTTTGCATACAATAGGTAATTCCATTGCGCGACCTCGATTTCCTTGTTACCAGTTTCCAGACTGCTTCTTTATCACCCACCCCTGGTGCTAAAAATACTCGAGAGCAATCTCGAATTGCATTAAATTCACGTTCTTTGCCATCTTCATCATCGTAAATTCGCCACCAAAGCAGTTTTTCCCATTTCCTTTTTTATCAGAAGCGTCTTGGAGTAGATTCTGTCAATATCCGTGTCACCCTGGTTTTCACCATCTTGTTCTATCTTGCTCTAGATAAGTTGAACTTTAGAGCAGGAGACATTAATGGGCTCCTGTCTAGAGTTAATATGCACGAAGGCCTGAAGGCAGAGACAAGCTGTTCAGACATACTGTTGCCTACGAATAAGCCCACTTAATTAGTACTGAAAGATTTCTGTTTGGCACCGCACTAGTCTAAAACAAAGGTATACTCCCGAAGGTAATCTATTTTTTCGCCATTTTTATCTTTATCATGGCAAGAAGCTACGGAGTATTAAATGATCCGGGTTTCTAACTTGAAGGTGAAGTGACGATTTTGTAAGATTAATTATTTCAGCTTGAGCAGTTGCCCATTAGCCACAGGCTAATTTTAGTTTTATCATGGTGTCGATCAGAATATCTCGTGTGGATTGCGGGATGTCGACTAGAGGCCAGTAGCGAGTGAATCATGAAACAAATTACTCAATCAATTTGTCAAATTTTAACCACTTTTTATTTTGGAATTAACAGTTAACATACACAGTCTGTAAGTAGACAATGAAATAAGGTTTTACATATTATTTTAATAACATGATTGATTCACTGATACACTTGCGTTAAGTTGCAGTTGTTTATAACTCACGGATATTATTTCGTCTCTTACCCCTTACTGGTGTATGAAATAAAACAAGTCAAAACATCAGTCGTATTCTGCTCCAATTGTGATGCTCAATTCTCCAGTGGGAATAATTTTCGTGGAGTGAAACCACTGGTTGGTGTCCAGGACAACTGAAACAAAAACAAAAAATGGTTCACTTAAAAAGTTCACACACCCACACACAACCGCCAAAAAAAATTTCGAAAGGAGCTGGCTACGAAATAATGCACTGAATAATTTATTTGAAGATTATCAAGAATCTGGCCTGCTATTGTTACGATCAAACCAAAAACTCAAATCGTTTTGAGTTTTTTCAGCGTGTTTCGGGAGCAAAATAAGATAAATTTTTGCTCTTCCGCATTTAGGCCTGTCCCGACTGTACTCGTAAAATGCTGGAAAGTTGCCCACTAGAATGCCAAAAAGTTACTAAAAAATTTCTAACCAAATTTCAAAAGCTGTTACCTAAATTTCTTGATATTTTTATATAAACGCTAATTAAAGGCTTTATTTTTCTTTATTCACAATAATCGCTGACAGTAAACGGTTAAGAAAATTAGCTTGAAAGAGTTGCTCGTAAATATGGGCGACATTTAAGGATACTCCTGCCGAACGTCATTTTAGCCAATTATCTGTGATGAAGATCGCAATAAGAGAGAAACGTTGTCAAGTAACAGGATATGTGTTAATTTTTTTTCGATGAAATCGGCGACTTCAGTTCGTGCTTGGTATATGCTGTAAACCTATGTTTTTCTCAAAAATTGCTCAGAAAGGCAAAAATTGCTCTGAGTTGCTAAAACCACAAAAACTTGCTCCAAACGCCAAAACTTGTTCAAAAGTTGCCGAGTACGATCGGAACAAGCCTACCCACGTTTCCTCTCGACTTACTGATTTCTCCTTTCTGCATTGTCACTTGTACTGTCTTGCAGACGTGTTCACACTCTGGAGGAGGAATAAGGGTCCACATCTTTTGTCCTGACAGCTGGGCCTGCCATGAAGGACGCTGCACCATGTCAATCTATGTTTATGAGACAAAATTTTGCGTAGGTTACAAGCCATGATGATGCGTACAAGTTTTCTCGCGCACTTTGCATCCGTTTCTATAGAAAATATCAAGAAAATACCAAGACTCCTTTCTCCGATGCTTCTTGAAAATCCTTGGAAAACAGCGTTTCAAGTCGGTATATCCGTCACGGTGACCTGGTTTCGTGCGACCAATCACAAGCAAATAAGCAATACACTGGTACTCTTAATTTCATCCATTCCTGATGAATATGGGACTTCTCCTATATATTTCATGCAGACTGGCTAATGCGAGTTTTATATCACTGACTCCAGTTTAAACTTAGCTTGAGAAGGGAATGGGACCAGTAATGCTCGACAAAACAGTCAAATCATGATATGATGTGACGAGTTTTACAAATCCATTTTTGAATAAATTAGTCAAGAATGATAAAACCAGCTCCCCTCCTTCTGGTAAGCTACAGGTTTGTATGAAGCAAAGAAGCCGAATGCGTTTATTTCTTCTCTGTAACTTGTCAAATTTCAAAACTGCATGAACAATTATTTGAGAAAAAAAATGATCTGCAATCGAACCTGTATTTAGCGGCACCGTATTATTAAGCGGTCGGTTTTCAAAGTCCTCCACCTGTATTGAAGGGTCACTTAAAGCAGACCACTCAAATAAAACTAAGAATAATCTGTCAATGCATTTTTATCCATGTTCAGTTTATCTCCGAAATCAATGTTAGAAATATCTTTGAGCGAGTATTTTATACATTAAGTCAATCATTGCATAAAATGGCGTTTTTCATCGTTCTTTATAAAACCCCTCTTCTGCGAAACTGGTCAACCTGTATTAAACGATCACTCTGCAACTCCTCACTTAATACAAATCCGACTGTATTCCCGATTTGAGAAGGTTTTGTCACGTGATACTTACGTGTATGGGCGCACCAGGTCCAGGCCCTCCCATAAATATCCAGTCTTGATCGCCTGTCTCCGCGTCATGTGGTATAAAGTAAGGTTTGTCATAGTATTTGCGCAATATCTGACGGACATTGGGATCACAATTACTCCTGTAAAAAAAAAAGAGAGAGGCATAATAACACTATTATGGTCCCTTTGATCACTTGAAACTCAACCCTTTTTGAGGAGAATTTTTTAAATATCATTGTTATTCATTGGGTTTTTTTGTGGTCACTCTTGTAATGAAATAAATGACGAAAGACTAGGGAAGGAATTGCCCTACCCCTTCCCCTCTCCTTCTCTTTGACCGCTGCTCATCCCCTTTAGACAAATTTCTTTCTCTCCTCAGCCTTCCCAGACGGTGGCAGCTATATTTTCACCGAGGTAACACTGAACACTCGCCCGCCAAAATTACGCCTGCTCTGCGGGCTATTCTCGTCTCGATCAACTGAACTGGAAACTACTCGGAGGCGTGACGTCACGGTGAGAAACATTTTTCAGCTACTTGGAAAATGCCCCTATAATTTCTCTGAATTATCAGCAAAAATAATTGTGACAGGCCGAGAAAGCTTTTAATTTTTAGTAGTATTTTATCCATCAAAGTATTTTGTCCATCATGAGAAAGATGTGATCACGATGACGGAAATCTCTCAACTAGGTACGCATTTGTGACAGACCAATCACTGACAATGTCTATTTGAGGGAGAGGCCGGGGTAGATAGTGAAAAAATTAGCTATCACATATCGCATGCACGAAATGATGATTTTGATTCAACAAATCTACGAAGGTTGAATCAGTTTGATTTCCCCGGTAAGTGCACTACCCATATTTATGAAATTTGAAAATAACTTAAATCATTTTAATCTTCATCATGTATCTTCCATTCTCCAAGGGGCCATACTTACCAGCCAATATACCACGGCTTCCCTTTCCATTGTGCCCTTTTATTTGACATTCTTAAAGCATCTGCTAGAGACTGAAAACCGGATTTGTAGGCGAAAAACATGCATCCCTCGTCGACGTTATCTAAATCTGCCTCATCGCTCTTAGCGTAAAGGCGTTTGAAAAACTTGAAACTGAACGCACCCACGGCTGACCAGTTTTGTGCAGCATCGGTAATAACCACAGGTCTTCCTGAATATGCGTATGTGGAGATGAACTCCTCCTTAGAAAGATTAGCGACCCGTTGTATTTCATTCACACCTTCACAAAGCAGCGAACAGTTGGTTGGTTTGCGCGCCATCTCGTTCAAAACCACGAAATCTGGCTCAATGAGGCATTTAGAGTCTGGGTTGTATTCCAAAATCAACTGACACAACAACAAAGCGATTGCGGGCAGGATAAGAAACCAAATTATCTTGTTCCATGCGAAAAAACTGCTTTCGTTTTCTTTCGATTGAGTTTTTGGAACTCGATGAACATCTCGCAAGAACTCCCATCGAATATTTTCAATAGATTCTCCGGATCTGATGCATTTTTCTCTCAGCTTGGAGAATCGGAAGGCTAGAGCGTCGACTTTTTTCGAATCCGCCATGAAAGATCGTCTCTCTCAGTGGGGATACTTGAGTGACCAATCCATACTAGACTCATACCATAAAAGGGCGATATTGGGTTAAGGTTTATTAAAACTTACATAAATAGCTCTCTCTCAGAATGCAAATATTTTTCTTACGTCTTTCTTTCTGAACTTGTAAACCAATTTTTTAACCCAGTGTTTAGTGTAGTTTTCAGTCATCCACCTACATAGAAATAACACGAGATTTCCTACATTCCATTTAACACAATTATCTCAGGTTAGATCCGTTACGTTTTGCATGAACACGTTTTCATAAATTCTCAACAAAAGTTTATTCTGCTAAGGTAACAGAAATAGATATTAATATTGTACATCTGTTTTCTGATTATTTGTCGCAAAACATCCAAGCTCGAGGGACATGCGCTGTAGCAATAAAAAAATAAAACGGTGGGAATCTAAAAATATGTACCATAAGTGAGGTATGATAAAAAGAAACGGAGATTATTCAATACAAACGTTTTAACTGTCTTTGGCAAAAAAACATGTTTTTTTATCAACGAATATCTTGGAAACGGAGTTCTGGCGTGATCAATTGGCAATATGAAGTCACAAGGAATGCCCATTGTCGGCCCAATATCGGATACTTATGTATCACAATATTGGGAGCTATTGTCAATAGCCGGAAGCTGTGGGTGGATAAAATTATTGACAGATTGACGTATATAAAGTACTATGACAAAGCCAATATATGCGCGTCTTATATTATATAAAGGAAGGAGGTATACCATACAAAAACTCCTCAGTATTCTTATTATTCAAGTCTATCATTGGTAAAATATTGGTTTTCCTTTGAACAAGCTAGGAGAGCGGGTGGCCTTACTTAAGTGTACTAGGGTGTCATCATTGTTATCGTGCGTCATGCTTGCATGCCTCAAGTATTGTTTTGAAGCTTCCCAAACTTGAATTACAAGGAGTAATTACGTCAATTTTGTTGAAACAGAACAGTGAAGGGTAAAGTGCAGAGAGGGGAATAAATTTTTCACTTGTTTGTGAATTAAGACTTTCTTTAAAGATACTTCATCTAGAGAGCTTTTGTTGTAGGTCACAAGTTTGTTTAGACTGTTCTACTTGTTTCTTTTTCTTCCCCTTGGCACTGTTGGTGACAAGATTATTCAACAGCATCATAACATAACCGACATAATCGGGGTAGCATGGTGCTGAACGAAACCTGACGTGGGTGTGGCCGTACTTATTCGAATCGACTCCTCAGACTCCCGCAAGAGGAGATTTATTACTTCTTGAACGTTCGATATTTGCTTCGTTAATATTTTAACAAATAATTTAATCCACTCGAGTTATTTAAGAGGAAACCACACATGCTGTCGCTGACTGAAATACTGGGTTTGTGACTGAGGTCAATCTTCAGGTTCCATCACCTTGGCTAAAATTCTACCCGTGCTCTAAGTTATAAAGACTGCGATCCCAAAAAATATAACGATGCTCTCTTTCCTCGAAATGAATGGAAAAAACGACAGGAAACAAGTTCCAACTTTTCCTTTTTATCATTAAATCATGATAAAACCAAGTGACACCTCCATTGTATCTACAGCCTGAGAATATTTCATGCTTCAATTAAGACTCAATGAGGAGGTAGATCTCCTAGTTTGTTAACTTTTTGAGAAAACACTACCCGAAACTGAGGTTTCTGTTTGATAATCACCTCTTGGAGAGTGCTTTTAGAGTTATTCTCGTAAGGATTTCGGTAAAAAACAACTTCTAATTTTATGATACAATTTCAACTATCTCATATGATTACTACTCAACATCATTGTCTTCACATCTTTCGATCAATCTCAGTGCTCTCAGCCGATCAAACCCTAGTGTTTTTACACGTGCAGTTTATGTCTTAGCCTCTCATGAGGAATCTTGATTCTGGGTCAATCTTCCTCTAAGGCGTTCGTCTACTCTAGCAAAAAATTACTCTAAAGTTCTCCTCTAGTAACAAGAAAGTGCCTTGTTGCTATGTCGTAAGGAAGTTCTATAGAAATCGATAAATGTTTGCACGTTGTTTAAATTTGAAAAGTACCTAAATCTTTAACGGGAAAAATCTGTCTTCAATTAACAGCATATGAGAATACTTTAAAAAATTTTCATTGAAAAATGATCACTTTTTAGGATCTCATCCAAAGTGTTACATCGAAAGTACTATTACCAAGGTCGTTTTAAGAAAAATGACTGATCAACTTTGCAGGAAATGAGCAATGCATTCTAAATTCTCCGTCGTCATTCTACTTACTTTGCTCCTATGCTTTGCACGATTGTATTTGTTTGGAATCATGTTTTGTTAATTATATTTGACGGTAACAGCAGTGGCACTGTCATAACTAAATTGCAAAAAGATTAACAAGATTTACAAACTACAAAGACAATGGCCCTTTTCTCAGTAAAAAATCCAAATATCTTCTTCCTTGTCTTCACAAAAAGCGTCAACAATGTCTCCGTTTGACCTGAGCTCTGTTAAGGTGCAAGAAATTCGCCTAACAGGGTGATATCATCCATCGAAATTCCAAGAAAAACTTCAACTATTTACAAAATTACTATGACCTATGCACACAACGAACGTAAAATTTGCTTTAAACGAGCTTTCCATTCCAGATCCTCTTGATTTGTGTCTACGGTATGGATAATATGGTACAATGGTGTCGTGTTCTAAAGCGTTGTCATGGTGATGATGGCGGGATTTAATAAGGAGCGTATCTGTAGCCTGTGCTGTAACTAGACGGCGGGGCCTGGGGAGGCGCTGCTGTACGGTATGCGGGTGCAGGGGCTGCGTACGTGTTTGGCTAGAAAGGAGGAGAGATGGTAGATCATGTTTAGCAAATATCTCGAAGACAAATTGTCCCTATTTTATCATTTTAAGGAGCTACAAAGAATGCTGAAATTATAATCAAACCAACTACAGTTTGAACGAAAAAGAAGTGAAAATGATTTAAGATGTAACCCTACATCACACGCAGCCAGAAAGGGATGTAAAGAATAAATTAAGAATGTCACAAAGCCACGTGTAGATACGAATTTTGTCTTCGAGTACTGACACTATTTCTCATGAGTGAGCGAGGCGAAGTTGCGGAGAATGATGTTCCAACTTCACACAAAAAAGAAGCACTTTTATATCCAGAAAAGAAAAGCACAATCGCCGTGTCAATAAACATGGTTGACATGACGAAATAATTATCTTCGCATGTAAAGATATAAAGAGTACATTAACTGCAAGCAATGAAGATAAAACGCTTTCAAAACAAGATAAATTCTAATATTTCATAAACATCGATATAATAAGTAAGATATTTACCGGACCATATCCACCTCCGTAAGGCGCTGGCTCATATCTGGCGAGGAATACACAAACAACATAAATAAATTCACGAAAAAAGGCAAGAATAAAGTGTGAGACAAATTAACAAACATCAAGAGCAAGATGAAGTTTTACCCAAAACTTCCTATTCTCCTCGCAGCATATGTCTGTTCATATCCATCATAACTTCTGAAATGGTGAAAACAAAAACCAAACATTTTATCTTTGCATTAAGGGTAAAAACACCCGCTGAATTTGCAATACGACTGACAAACCAAGGACACTAAATCATTACAAAGTATACTCTGCCACAGAGTATTAGCACTTTTAAGTCATAAAGAAACTAAATGCTTAACGTACAGACCATGGAGAGTAAAATACGAAAAACCTGCGGGAAAACTGAACTCCATGGATCTAATGCTTAAGCTTTTCCTCCAAAAAACGCTCGAATTTCTGGCTTCCATGTGTAGTGGCGACCGCGATTTTTTGGCAGGAAATTATTAGAGTGACATTGTTATTGTTTCAGCTTTCAGTAGGCTTATCTAAGCCACAGTAAACCCTCTATAAGGCGGGGTCAACCCCAACTTCCCGTCTTCGGAATATTTTCAGGTTTTAGATAGTCAAAAATCCCATTACACCAGTAGTTCTGACTAAATAAAGCTGGACTTAGGCAAAATATATAAACACGAGAAAAGAGAGAGTTTAACATATTTGTATATCACTGGTTAAAAAAAAAGATAAATCTCTCCACAATGTACTGGAAGCTGAACCAATAACAATGTAATAATTTCCCGCCATAAGAACGCGGTTACAACTGACAGTTGACTTAAATCGTGTTCAGTTTGGCTTTGTGATTCGTTTCTTTGAAATATGCGAACAATACGCGGCATAGGTTGAATTCACCCAAGAAGCAAAAGAGGTTGTAATGGTGGGCAAAAGTGTTCGGTAAGGTAAGTTTGCAAAAGGATAATATAAAGCAGAACAGTACGTTCAGTGGATCGATAGAGAAGTTAAACTTTTTGGTCAACAGACATAACACCATTTTTTCTTCATAATGGACTTGTGCAGTTTTCATAAACCATGGTTTTTTGCTTTTCTTTGCTTTTTGATTGGTCAAAAAAAAAAACCCGCGCCACCTCCATAACCAATCATATTTAAAACTAAAATGAATCACGACTTCCCGCGCTTCAAAGAGTTCCCTTGCTATAACTTTGCGCTCTCGTTACTCTTTCAGATATCTCCATTTTACTTTGAATATCTTCTCTAATAGCTTTGGTTTGGTTTGGCCGAAATATCCTTTACTTACACAATATTAAAGTAATAACATGGAACTTTGACCAAAGGGTTTTTAAAGCATCCTTTGCTTACCCAGTATAGCCGCCATTGTATGCAGTGACCTGAGGTTGAATTGTCCGAGTGCTAAACTTGTTTACCGGCGAAGGCCGACGAACTCCTCTCATGCCACGAAACGCTGTACCTGAAAAACACAGTTACTTACGGTCATTATCTCTCTCATAAACTGTTTTTTCAATTTATTGGTGTTTTAGAACACAAAAGTTCGATATAGATGACACTTTTTGAACGTGGAAGTAGATATCAGAGAAGCACGCCGAATAAAAGTTTGATTGTGTGATCAGTTATAACTTTTGCTCTGGAAGAAAGACTACACGTCTACGGAGCTCATTGGCTCTTCATTCAAACATTACAGTGCAAAAAAAGTGAAATCCAAACTTGGCACTTTAATGAGAAACCTAACTGTACTTGGAGCAACATAACTTTGCCAAAACTACCTACAAATTGCACGATGGATGAATTGCAGACTTCAGACAAAAAGATCCAAAGCAAAAATACAACCTTATTCAGTCATACAGAAAACTTGCAACAAAACCTCTCTTGAACGTCATAAAACCAACTTTAAAAATGTTAAAACTCATATGTGCGAAGTAAGCCTGCTTTTTTGATAACCTTTGGCTTAATGATGAATCGCTTACGACTTTTTGACGTACAAAATCTACATAATAACAATTTTAATTTGTCCAGCCAAAGAGTCATGTTCCAAGTAAATTTAGTACTGTAGAATAAACACCTTACCAAAATTTTAACTGCTAAAACAGATATGACAACAAAGGAAATAAAAATATGACAAATTTACACTAATATTTGGCAGACATTTTACTCCTGAAGAATCGAACCTTTTACTGCATACAACTCATACTTATCTGCCAAATCAGTACTCCATACAGGAGGACACATGCAATCTCTTACACACAGAACATGCCACTACAGATCAATGAAACGAGAAGGGGAACAAAGCATGCTGTACCATTGGTTAAGGGTCCTCGATTTTGGCCCGGACTTTTTTTGGCGTGCGGTCGAGGGGTTGCATTGTTTACCTAAGTGAAAAATTATCAGTGTCAATGTGGAATCATGCACACATGCAGGAACACAAAGTGGATTACATAAAAGTGGAATGCAAACAAGTAAACTACACTTCACAAAAATTAGATTCCAACCTCTATTTTTCTTCCATCCACGATAGTTCCATTCAGTTTTTCCCTTGCTTTCATTGCATCAGCAGAATTCACAAATGTCACAAATCCAAAACCCTAGAAAATACAGTTCGTGATCATTTTCCAAGTCATCATTTTATTGTTTCTGATTAGTTCAAAATAGCTAGAACATTCACATTGGGTCTTTTTTTTTAAATAACTTGCTTGGGGTTTGGGTTGATGACTCTGAAGGTGCTACTACATCCACAGCTTTTTTTTTTTTTAAGTAAATTAAGGATGTGCACATTGAGGACACAAGTAAACTCTTACTTCTTGGGTTCACATTCCTTAAACAACCCTATACCCAAAAACTTTTATTCAGCTTGAGATGAATGACGTACAGGAAAAAAAATATCTGAAAGATCTCTGAACAAACTGGACAAGATATGTATGTTTTACCCCAACTCAAAACAATCTTGTTAAAGGTATTGAATTTCAACTTCAAAAAAAAAAAGAAAAAACTTTATTGAAACATGTATTATTTTTCCCATTTGATATAGTTATATTCATAGGACAAATCAATTGCACTTAACATGTACCAATCAAGACATATTTCAACTTTTCAGTACCTTTGATCCTCTTTCATTGTAGATGATTTCACAATCTGCCAGAGAACCAAATTGCTGTGGAAAAGACCAGATGTAATGTTATCATAACAGCTGGATACAATAAGATCCAAGTACTCTGTTGTATAGTACACAGTATGTAACCTCTTCTCATCTTAAATAACATTAATGTATCCTATCTACTATCTTTGTTATCTAGGAATGTTATTTACTGAGAAAAAAATGTCAAATTTTCTCAAATAGTTAACCCTTTACACCCTGACATCAGTATACATATTCTAATTACTCTACTCTATACACTTCCTGAGGTGCTGACAAGGAGAATTTGTTTAGCAATGAAGAGTTTCTTTAGTTGGTGATCATTTCCTTTATTCTCATGACCTTACAGTGTGATTTAGGGATGATATTGTAAGGAGAAATTAGATGCTAGGGGCCAAAGGGTTAACAGGGCAATTTGGAATCAACCCTTAACCTAACATACATGTAAGTATGTGTATTCTTCACTGTTCTCTACACGTCTCTTACTGTACTGACACAAGAAATTTGTCTAACAATAGTATGCTTTCTAAGTTATAGATAATTTCATTTATTCTCAGGACCTTAACATTTGATTTAAGGGTGATATTATTGGGAAAAATTTGATATCAGTTACTCTTGAGATTCTTTTCATTTGCTGTAATCAACCAGATCTGACTGCACAATTTATTTTGCTTCTATGATACACAAATAAAAAAGCTCAATATACCAGGGTTTTTAAGAAGAAATGAATATAGCAAAATACTGTAATGTAAAAAGGGGATGTCCTTCACCTCCAGGTAAAAAAGCACTTGACTGGCCAGTGAAAATTAGGGAGAGATTTCAGCCCTTTGTAGCTGGAGAATTCTCTGATCTGTGATACATGATCAACATCCTGATAGAGTTCACCCTTTCACTGTCACAACCTTCTTAATAATTCCACTCACTGTCTTCCACACAATTCTTGTGATTTTGATTCAGAAGAGAAATTGGCATTGGATCAAATGTTAATTCACTAATTGATATTTTTCTCTAATCTCATCACTTGTCTGCCTGATAGTGTTTTGATACTTTAAGGAGAAATTCTGTCTTTGTCTCTCATGAGAGTTTAAGGAGTCTAAAAGCAATAAAACAATAATTGAAATACAAACCCCAAACATTTGAACTAAGTCATGATCTCTAAATCTAAAAGGGATGTTAGTGACATGTAGCCTCTTTGGTCCTGTGTCACCATTCTGTGTGAGTAGTTCTGATGGCTGAAGCTGGTGTGTCTGTGTCTGTAATTGTAATGGTTGGGTAGGGTCCATGGGTGGAGCCACAGCAACCTCTGTGTAGGGTTGAAGAGAGAGTGGCTGCGTGTACTGGACACCATTGCTAACCTAATAAAAACGGACAAAAAAAATTGTCAACAGTTATAATTGGAATTGTCAAAAGTTATTGTAAGGCAATAAAAATGTAAAAAGAATAAGGGGACTTTGAAAATTAGAATCCAATCAGACTGTTTAGGGTAGGGATTACATGGTGTTGACTTTTCTGTCCAAAGGGTTTCATAAGAACTAACCTAGCAAGACTCACAGTTACCATAAGTGACCTGAACTCATGGTTAGTTAGACAACAAGTACTTCCAGCCTTACAATGTAATTACTCTCTGCAAGAATTTATCATTTTTCCTTTACTGAAAATGAGATTTTTTTTTCCAAAATTCATATAAAGGATGACCTCAATTTAAGCTATCACAAAAAAAAAACAAACAAACAAACAAAAACAAACAAAAAACAGCATTATAATGGTGTTTGTCCACAACAAATTTAAAATTTTTATGGTAAGAGAAAAGCTACAGCAATATGAGGTAAAAAAAAACAACAACAAAAACTCCTGTATAAAAAATTTTCTATTTAATACATCTCAGGGAACATAGCTAGAAGTTCTTTCTTTCTATCATTAAATCAATTCATTGTTTTCAGGATTATTGATAGTTACTTTCCAAACTGGATTTTTCCATTCCAAATCTCTGATTTCATAAAATTAAACATTTCTGTGAGAAAGAGACTGTGAAAAGGTTACTTGGAAGCCTTCCATTGAGAAGTGCCTAAGCCTAATTAATAATTCATCAGTAACTTATTGTGGTCTTTCCATATAAAAACAAATTCTTGCTCGGTGACATTCATTATTAATGCAGTTTAGTAGACTACCATGCAACAACCTGCCTCTAAATTAGCTTTAGTTGAAGTAAAAAGTTCCCTTTCATAACACAAGGGTACCTAGTAAAGTAATTAGCCTGACACAAAACTTTAACCCAAATACAAAATTTCTGTCAGTTCTTTGTTTCTAAAAATGATTTTCTCTAAAATCAATCATTGATCAAAAAATTTAACAATATGGATCAGAAATTGTCAAAGGAAATTGTAATATATGATTGTACTCTGGTTGGGTGAAGACAATGGAAGTAGGTCATACTAATGAAACACTGGCTTGGGAACAATGGCCTGAAATTTTCTTCTGTTTTTTAGTGTCTGCCAAATTATCATAATTTTAAACATTTCCAACAGAGTGAACTATGTAATGTTAATATTTGGCTTCCATAAAATAACCACAAGTGAAACTTATCTCATACCTTAACTAAACATACACATAGATGTTGAACAAAAATAATTTAGCCATTGAAGTCCTGTATCAAAATCCCAAGACACTAAAGCAAGAGATTGAATTGCTACTTATTCTGACAATTTCACACAGTCAAACACTACTACAATCTGATTACATAAAGTCCGCAAGTAAAACACATTATTTTGTAGTAAAAGAAATTGAATACAGTTGTACTTTCACTTTAACACCATGAATCTGAACAATGGCTCAGTCTCCTTCAACATGGGGGCTAAACAGTTATTGCAACAATATACAAAAGAAAAAAGGAGACTAACAGACAAAGAAAACTTCACCTCCATGATAAAAATCCTGAGTTTTCGCTGTGACCCCTGCATGTACATGTAGTTTGGAAGGCTTCAAAGCAATCTAATTTAGTTTCAACACAAGTTATGAATAATTTAACACCTCTGCCCTACCAGCTGCAGAACACTCTAAGATGTAAGGTTCATCAACACACCATTTTCGCAATAAAAACTTCCTTTAATGAGCACTACATATGAACTCTATAAGTAATTATTCATATTTTTCCCACTGAGACTCTTAAAAAAAAAAAATTGAATTCACACTGACAAATGTTGTAACTGTTTTCAAAACACAAACTGCAAACAACTAATCATGTCAACTGTGGCTATTAAAAAGTAAATTAAACAAACAACTGGTAGAATATATATTCACTGGGAATTCTCCAAACAAAACAAAAGGTAACATGGCAATGATATTCAGAGAATTTGTATGTTAATCAAGTCATAACATCAGCTCCGGGGCTATTGTCACATTTAAATTTAAGATCTATTGGGACATGGGTCACTAAACTTGGTACACAACAGCAGAGCCAAAGGGATGGGAGAGAACCTTCTTTCACCTGCTCAGTGTGTTCCATAACAGGTATCTATTCTAACTCTGTTTAGACACACTTTCCTTTGGTTGAAATTAAATTTGAGATATGACTAACCATGTAGCACAATTTAATTATGTTCCACGACGCCCCTAATGGTTCTAATCCATGTACCATTTTTACCTATTTAACACTTATTTACACTTTACGACATCTCACAACTACATTTTATAATTTAAAGATGAGAAAAGCAGAGTATTTCTCATAGACAGTTTCAATATTAGACATGGGAAATTTCAACTTGACTAAGCAATACCAATTCAAAACTAGAAAAAAAATTTTACTTCAGATGTGAAAGGTTACACTTATACTTCTACAAAACGTCTGTTCTCTATACTACTTCATTCTTAAGCTTTTAATTGTTATTTTACAACTGATAACATCAAGTTCTGCTAGAGAAAAAGGATAAGAGGAAAAGTAAATTAACAGTTCATTAAAAAGCTTCTCCCTCTGCCCTCTAAGTATTTCTCTGTATTTACACTGTAATGAATATGACAAATTGTATAATCATGTAATACATAGTGGCTCCAAATATTTAATGGAGTGATTATCACTTCCCACATTAATTAATGAACAGCTTATTGTTTGTCTCAATCATTGGGTTTCCTAAAGTTTATTTTTTGTCAATTCCACCTTCTATACACATGCTTTTTTTTTTATTTTAAAGAAGAAATAAAATGTGGAGATAATAAGGGATAAGGTGAAAAGATGGCAAAGGAAATAAGACAAGAATCAGTTTTCCTACTCCAAAAATATCAACTAACTCTGAAGTATTTTAAGCTCCTTGAAGAAATAATTTGGATTCAATAGCTACATTGTTCCTTGTTGGATGATAATTCAGTCTGTGAAAAATTATCTCCTCGGTTTTTTCCCCTCTTTTTAGCCTATTTTAAATCATACCAGAAAGAACTTTCCTCTCAATACAGCATCATGCATTTATAACTTAATTTTCCTAAAAGAAAGTAAGCTATAATTGCATGCAGACAACAGAAATTTAAAAGCTGCAATCTTCTTTGCATTTAAGATGTAATTAAGGCTTGAAAAAAAATGACAAATTCATGAATATTTCAAAATGTATAGCTTACAAAAAAGCAAAACATTTGTTTTGTGTCAGGATATATTTTTGAAAACTCTCAGTGTTAAATTAAAAAACATAAGAACATTGTGATTCATATTTCCACACTATTACACAAAACATCAGTTAACCTACAAAGCATGGAGATTCAATTGGGTGCATGACTTGAAATTTATCCTTATTTGTTTTTCCAATTCCTTTGTGATCTGATTCAAATTCAAAATTAATGACTGAAATTTGTATTGAAACAAAGTGCTGGCACTTACACTGTACTTATTTCTATCTGTTCAATTGGCAAGATTATACATCATTGAACAGTTGTTCAAATTGAGAAGGAAGTACTGTTCCCAACAAAAAAAAATTTCCTAGGTTTTGGGAAGATTTCACAGACGGTCACAGTACAGATTGATTCCCAGACACAAAAATTCTTTGCTAAATGAGAAATGCAAGACTGTCTTAAATAACTGTACACGATATGCACATATTTGCGATGTATTTACAAGATACCAACATAAAAAAATGAGGATTTCATATATCCTGTGTTGTAGTTCCTCACAAAAAAGTATACGAGACTTACATAAATTCCGTAGAAGTCCATCACATCTGGAGCAAATCGGGATATGAATGACACCGAGTGTAAATGGAGTAATGAGCTTTTTTATTATTAAGAGTAAATGAGACTCAATTATACAATCCAAGCTCATTATTAAATTTATTTCATATTGACTATTGAGCCAATCATAGATCAAAGACAAACACCACACGGCACAGATGTGCTAGTACTTGTCTTCAGAGTGCATATCAGGCCACAAGATTGTGTTACTTAAGCAATGGGTAACACTACAACATTCCAAAATTATTTTTTTTGAAAGACAAGACACAAATCAGTTGCTAATTCTTATGCGAAAAAACACTGCTTTTCATGTAACAATGATCATTTTGTCTCTCTGTGGTTTTGTGATTTTACACTTAAAATGTAAATTAAAAAACATGACATGATCTTGGTTTTGGCAAGAGATTCAAACTTCTTCATTAAAGTGAAAATATAATTGTCATTATCACCAATTGTCTAAATTACATGAAATACAGAACTCAAGCAAATAGCTATTATAATATTTATTTTCCAAGCATAATGACCAAAACCTCATTTTGAACCAGGGGGGCTTAAATATTAATGGCTTAAAACTCCTTTTTGTTCATAAAATATCAGACTACAAAATAAATTTAGAGATGAATAACATCAACCAAGGATACAGCACAACATCACATCCACAAACCCTTATATCATAAGGACATTTTCTTTTGAAAATTGTCATTATGATAAGTTACATTTTTCATTCCAGTCAATTTTAGAAATGTGTTCCAGCCTCTCATAATAATTAAAAAAAATAATTACTTAAAAAAGAGACCTTAGGCCACAACAATTGTGGTAAGGTTTATTTTCTTTAGAAAGAATAGAAATGTGTTCATTTCATAACTAATGAACAGGAAGCCTCACACATATCTGGAACATATCTGGAATGTGAGTTTGACAACTCTCTACAGCATGGATTAGATTTCACTTTCTTTAATTAACCTTTTAACTCTCAAAATCTGATTAGTAATTCTCCTCTCTAGCTACAACACATTTTCTTTTAGATTAGTTATGAGAATTTGGTGTTAGATCAAGACAACAACTTGTACCTAATAAGTTTGAATATAGGATATTATTAGGAGAAGTTTCATGTCGATCACTTCTGGGAGTTAAAGGCTTGATGAATTTTTCAATTTTTTGAAAATGCCACTTTGAGAAAAAAATTTACCTATAACACTTGAGGAACATGAAATAGAAAAATTGACATTTCGTGGCTTTCCAAAGTGGTCTCTTCAGAAAATTAAATCTGCTTTTATACATTCATGTTGTAAAAAATGTGTAATAATTTACTTTGAGTGAACTAAATTTGTTTTCAACACAGTATGACTATGTTTGAGGTCAGAACTCTCAAGGAGTTATACGCCCCTGTGTACCAGGGATAAAATTAACAGACACAATATTGTTCTCAATCAGAATATAACTTGATTTCTATCTGTAACTACTTCTTTTTCCAACTTTGACCCTGCCAAAGTTATGTGAGTGTTGAGTTTCAATGATTCTTAAGTATCTTTAACTGTAAATCCTTTACGTTGTTGCTGAGTAAAGCTGCAATATTCTGACATTCAATCTCACTCACTTGAGTCACCCTTTGTCTAAAAAGAAGCCGGTATGTGCATTCCTGGAGAACTGCCTAAAAATGAATAATTAACTGCATAGCTCCTGTGCGAAAAGTACAAATATTCCAAGCAAAACCCAATACTATCTGAGTGAAGTGCTTTGAACGTCGAGATTGTTTATTGCGTGTATGACATTGTTTGTGATTTCAAACCTGATATGTTTCTTGGGCCAACATCGTGTTTCCACAAACTTTGCAGATAAATTCAGGAGCGGATTCCATTCAATTTGAACGGTAATTAGGAATAAGATCACAGAAACAAACTGTTGTTTGGCCAATGTTCCAACGGACGCCTTTTCTACAATGCGTATAGTTCGTGTCTTTGTAATGAATACTTTTAATCAAGATTTTATTATTACTTCAAATCTTGACCTGTCAGACATATGACACTTGTCTAGAGCACAATAAAGGTAAGCTGTCTTTCTCCAGCCACATTACTCATTTTATTACAAGATAACCATTCACTGCAGATAGATCGATGAAATGTTCGATAACCTCACTAATTCCGTTCGTGTTTGGCCGCGGGAGGAAGCTCTCAAGCTTATCGCGATGCAAAATATGATACTATCATTTAATCGGACGGTGTACCAGATGCAATTTGTCTTAAGTCGTTTAGGCTAGCGGAAGTCTATCGCGTTCTCGCCGATCAAATAAACGAAAGTGACAATATTTATCACTCGGCCAAAAATTATAGCAAACGTCACAAGGCCTGCGGTGGTATTTTTCTTAACGATGAAAATTAAACATAGAATTCAAATGAAAGCGGAAATGTTGCGTGCGTTTTTCCTTCCGATGCACAAATACAGAGAAAGCTAGATATTCTTAGCACAAAATACCAATGAAACTAGTGAACTAATAATCACCGCAAATTTCACAAAGACTACGTTTGAGTATAAACAGTGAAGTGTAGCAAACGACCAGACTGATTTCATCGCCCATCGATACGCTAACAGAACAATCAAGAGCTCAAATATCACGTCTTCGATATTTTACTTCAGTTCGCTCAGGTAAACTAGATCCGGGTTCTGTTTGGAGCCGCAAACTGGAAATCAACATTTATTTTTGTTTCGATTATGACCTGTAGATCCTTAGTTGGGCATCAACAACATCCCGAATGTGTCAGATCATGACTTGACACTTTTGATGAAACTGTTATAAGATTCAGAACTTTAGAAGGATTCAAGAACTGTTCGTCTGTGTTGTCAGACGTATATGAGGCTGGATATTTTAAAGATTTTATGTTAGTGTTCAACGATGATAATTAACCAACTGTCAAAGATACGTACGATGCAGCTGAACCACAAAAGTCACCAAAACTTACCAGTTCACTTTCCTTCGAGATCGACCCGATTTCTGCCGTTCCGCCTCCCGACGGAGCAATCTCCGCGGGTAACGAGCTCAGAACTTGTTGTTCCATCGGCTGATCGGACACAAACCGTAAATGACCGACAACGCAAAGCAAAGAAATGTTAAAATTTTCTCGCTGTCAAGAACAAGACCCATGCAAACTGTCCTGAATCCGCGCCAATCATTTCCCGCAGACCACATGGTATAACAGACACAGGTTATACTAGTAACTAGGGGAGGGGAGAGAGAAGATAGTTTCGTCACTTCCTCTTTTATCTTTATTTTCAAAAAAAATTCTCAAAAGTTCTCTTAATCTCTATAATCGATTATCATAACAGTTTGCCACCGCAGAAAATCAAACAAGCAGCCCTTTTTAAATTGATTTTACTATTGTTTTTAATATTCCCCTACCCATCCCTGAAAAACATGCAATTCGACAGACAACTTAATTGAAAGCGAACACCTGCCATGTTACCGAAAAGCCCGAAAACAAAATTCACTTTTGTAAACTAAACAAGAAAGTCCATATATTAATTATATATGGAAGATGTTTTTGTTCGGAAAAAAATCAACTCTGACAATAGCTTCAAAAACGACCTAAAAACATGCAAGACAAATTTTTGCCCGACAGCTACCCAAGCGACATATATGTATCATACTCCAAGCCAAAACAACATCTTATGAAGCATCGATAAGGAACGAAGTTAAGGCTCCCAGCAAGTTCTGTTTTATCTTGCGGTTTCAAGTTACCCATTGGACAGGCACTCGATGTTCAGCGATCTTTGTGATAAAACATTTCAATATATTTTGAAAAGCAAAATCCCGAGATATAAAGGATAATGAAAAAAAAAAAAAAAACTTGTTGGCTTTTGCACATATTTGTTGGCATCGAGTAAGAGAATTTGGATTAGTATCATAGACTGAGCCCATGATTTCACTTTCCTTAGGAAAAAAACGGAGAAAAAAAAACGACTTCCTATACGGAAATATTATGCTATTAAAGAGAGCATGATGTTTCGTGTCGATTTTTAAACCTTTACAAGCTTAGCTAAGAGGCATTTAGTTCTAAAATGTAAAAAATCTTTCTCAGACGCCAGCTTCTAATTTCTTTTAACTAATTTAAAGAGTTCCCCTCATTTCCAAGTAAGAAAAAAAATGGAAAATAAAGTGGAAACCTTTAAGCAAGCTCAAGTACCCTTGATCTGTTATTTGCTACCCTCGCATTACACAAATCACTATCCACTCGAAACCCTATCCACTGTTGCCTTAGAAACATAATAACAACGCTTTTGGAGGTATCAGTTAATGAGTTTTCAAGGGCTTTTCAGGTGGCAACTAATTTACTGGTGTTTCCACCTTAGTACTCATAATGGAGTCCATCGAAACGGTGGATTCTTTCCAGAAGCGGTTGTCAGATCCACCTTTCTGAGTAATTTATGCATGATTAAAAATCAGTTTACACAAGACAGCATTATTGTTGTGAGCTTTTACGACTAACGAATAAGTTTAAATGCTTATGATAAATTTTTATGCTAATTTTTCTTTTAACGAATACCCGCAAGATACACTTATCTTTGACAGCAAATACATATTTTAAGGACAGTTGGAAGGCTTTACTCCGTTCAGTGAAGACTTCTCTCAAGTATTCGCTTGCCATAAAATGTTTCTTTTTAGCCTTATACTTGTTTCAGCCTCACTATCAAGTAATGCAATCAGATCAACACCAGAAGACGTTACTACATTTTTTGAGACAAATCTAATTCTTTTCACCCTTACTCTCTTACTCAGCTATAGAAATTATATAGCTAAGTCATAATTGTAAACATTACTCAGCTAAAAGAATATGTCAACGATCACAGCACTATGGTGAACATTTCCTCACGACTGAGTCTTCATGAAACAGTCCATTAAAATCGAACATACTGACATCTAACGATAAACCACCATATCGTCCGAAATTGGAGAGGCGTGCCCAAATAAAATCAGTGCCCAAAATCAAACAAAAGTGTCTGAAATCAAACGAGGGTGTCTGAAATTAGACACTGAAAGCGGAAATTTGTGTCCAAACGCGCACGCTAGTCTTAAAAATCGGACACCAGGGTCCAAGATAAGAAACTGTTGTTTAAAATCCGACACTAGTGTCTTAAGTCAGACAATACTGTCTAAAATCGGAAACGGACAGTACTTGCATCGAACACTAGAGTCTATAATTGAATGCTAGTGTCCAAAATCGGAAATCAGACACTAGTGTCAAATACCGGACACAAGTGCCTAAAATTGAAAATCGGACACTAGTGTCTATAGTTGGAAATCGAGCACTAGTGTCTAAAATTGGGAATTGGACACAAGTGTCTAAAATTGGAAATTGGAAATTGGACACTAGTGTCTAAAATTGGAAATTGGACACAAGTGTCTAAAATTGGAAATTGGACACAAGTGTCTAAAATTGGAAATTGGACACAAGTGTCTAAAATTGGAAATTGGACACTAGTGTCTAAAATTGGAAATTGGACACTAGTGTCTAAAATTGGAAATTGGACACTAGTGTCTAAAATTAAAAATTGGACACTAGTGTCTAAAATTGAATACCAGTATCTGAAATTGGAAATTGGACACAAGTGTCTTAGATTGGAAACTGGACACTAGTGTCTAAAATTAATAACTAGTGTCTAAAACTGAAAATTGGACATGAGTGTCTAAAATTGGACAATGGTGTCTAAAATTGGAAATTGGACACTAGTGTCTAAAACTAGAGATTAGACACTAGTACCTTAAATTGGAAATTGGACACAAGTGTCTAAAATTGGAAATTGGACACTTGTGTCTAAAATTGGAAATCGGACACTAGTGTCTAAAATTAGAAGTTGGACACTAGTGTCTTGATTTGAAAATCAGGCATTAGTGTTCTGAACTGGAAATTGGACACTAGTGTTTTAAGTTGAAAATTAGACACTGGTGTATAAAATTAAAAAATCAGGCACAAGTGACTTAAATTGGAAATCAGACACTAAAATCTGAAAACAGACAGTAACAACAAAAATTGGAAATAAGACACTAGTGTTTAAAGTCGTAAATTGGACTCCTCTGGCTAAAATTGGAAATCGGATATTAGTGTCAAAAAATTGAAAACTGGACAATAGTGTCAAAAATCAGAAATGAGACACATGTGACTAAAATTGGAGATTGGACACTAATGTCTAAAATGGGAAATTGGACATTACTGTCTAAAATGGGAGATTTGGACACTACTGTTGAAAATCGATATCAAACACTTGTGTCTAAAATCAGAAATGGGACACTAGTGTTTCAAAATGGAAAAGAAGCACATTTCTATAATGGATACTACAGTCTAAAATTGGAAATTGGTCTGTGATGTTTACACTGGAGACTGGAGTCTACAATTAGAGACTGATGTCTAAAATCAGACTCTGGCATCTAAAATTAGACACTAATGTCTAAAATGGGAAATGAGACACTTAAGTCTCAAAATGGAAAAGAAGCACTAGTTTCTATGATGGGACACTGCAGTCTTAAAATGGTCTAAAATTGGAAATTAGTCTGTGATTGGAGCTTAGTGTCAAAATCAGACACTTGAGTCTAAAATTGGACACTAGTTTCTAAACTGGGACACCCCTCTCTCAGATTGGCCACTAGTGTTTAAAATTGGACAGAGGTCTTAAGTGGGACACCACTGTCTAAAATCACCCTAAACAACTATCTAAATGATTGACTGACTGGCTAAATTCATGGTGGTAAATCAAATAGTACACAGTCTGAGGGGCAATGGCTTGCTGAAAGTTATACCAGATAAGGCAATTCAACTTTGGATTCACAAATTTATTTTCAATGGTTCTCGAATAACAGTATATACAATAGAATTTATATTGTGGTTTTAATTATCCTACTTTTTGAAACCTGACAAATAAAATTTAAAAGATTAATTGAATGCTCCAATTGATTAAATATCAATGATAATAAATTAAATGCTTAATTTACAGTCAAAATGGAATTTAACTTAATTATCATAATTTGCAAAATCCAAGCTGGATAGAAATGACAGCCATTTTCCAGTTGGCAACACACATTTTCTAAAAAACAGAAAGTCATTTTTATTGTCCTTTGTGGGAGATGATATGAAAATATACTGCTGTACTATCTATTACATCTTAATTTCAATATTCTGTATTTTGATTAACCTTCTCCCCACATATCAACATAAATCTTGTTGTGAATTTTCACTGGTTAAGTCAAAAAATTTCAATGTATGACTCATTTCCTCTTTCAATAAAAGACCAGACTTACCTGTAATAAGAAAATTTCAGGTTGAAAAGGAGACAGTTAAAGTTCCCTAGAAGTTAGGTTTCATCATTTTGTTGTAAAATTGTTAAGCATTTTAATCATTTTGAAAGAAAACAGAGGAGAAAAAGGAAAATGAAGAAAATGATCCAGCCCTCAGAGGACTATTGGACTGTTTCTCATTTAAAAAAAATTAAACCCATGGAAAAGAATCTTATGAAAAATTGAGGCTATAATATTTGCTAGCGGGAGTTCATAAGGCAAAGCCCTGTGATTTCCCATGGGCTTCCTCACCAGATTTGGTCATTTCTTGTACTCTCATAACTTCATAATTAAAAAAAATGAAATGAAATTTTAAAAAAGATACCTCACTTGAAGGTGAAAATCTTGGATATTAGTCTTGCATGGTTGTTAATGATGAATCACCCTTTATTTGAGAAGTCAAGGTATCTTTTGAGCATATAAGCAAAAGCATTCCCTTCATTCTGTTTAGATGGCAGATGATTGAAAAAATCATGGCAACAAGATTTGTGATGGACCACACCATCATTTATGTCTCAAATTCCTTAACTTTGTATGTGCTGTTTGTTGAGGAATGTCTTGTGAGTTTAAAATAAAAAGCCTTCCCCTCTCCCACATTTTTAACCCTTTAACTCCCAAGATCTCTTTAGTAATTCTCCTTACTGTCTGCCATACAGTTCTCATGTTAGTTTGGAGAATTTGGTACTGGATCAGCTTATAATTCCCTAACTGATGTTTTTCTTTATTCTCATTACTTGTCTGCTTGATATTGTATTGATATTGTAAGGAGAAATTCTGTCTTGGTCACTCATGGGAGTGAAAGGGTTAACCCCTTAAATCCCAGAAGTCATTAACATGTAAGTTCTCCCAATAATAATCACACATTTTTCTGCAAAAAGGCAATGAGAATAGTCAAACATCAAATTCTTGTGACTAATTTACAAGGAAATCTGTAGCTGCCAGCAAGTTGAATGAACCATCTCATCCTGGGAGTTAAAGGGTTTAAAGGAAAACTTTGAGACAGGTAATCTCATCAGTTTTAAACAGAAACTCCTACAATTTTAGAACCTACTTCATCACCATCCTACAACTAATCACAACAAAGATATGCAAACAATATGCAGAATTAGTGAGAAAATTTAACAGATCCAAGAAAAGGAGAAATCTCTCTGACATTACCAGCAATAAGGTCAACTTCTTCTTGACTAGGTAAGAAGGACAGACCAGAAACATTTAATGCCACAAGAGATGGACATGATAAATTAATGTGGTCCATAAGAAGTGATGTACAGGATACAATGTGAACCTCCCTTAAGTGTGCACCACTCAGATTGAGTTGACATGGGCCATAACAGTTCTTCAAAGTCAGAGACTCCACCAAGCCGCACTGCTGGATCATGTCACCTATTGGGCAATCAAGGTTGCAGTATTCCAGAGATATGTGACTTGCATTGCAACTGGTAAAGAGAATTGCATTGAGATTGCATCGCTTTAAAATCAAATGGCCAATTTTCACTGGATGTGATTTATTCCTGAAGTGCAGCTTTGTGAATTTTGGTGGTTTCACATGGTCTAACCTTCTTTCAAAGTTTACTTCTAAATGTTTGACTGTATCAGCATCAATGCTGACTTTCTGAAGGTAGGGTACATCATTTAGGACAATCTTTTTGACATTGTGCGACAATATCGACACTGCTTTCAAGATGGTTGATCTTGTCATTGACTTCTTGATAATGAGCTGTTGAAGTTTGGGACAACGGACATCAACAGATGTCAAACGCTCACCATTGTCAAATATAGTAATGTTTTCAAGTGATGGAGTAGAAATTTGATCAAGTCGTAAAGTTGGCCAGTACACCTCAAGCTCTAACACCTTGATATCTGGATTTTTTATCAAGAGACCAATAAGTTCAGCCTGGATGAGTGCATGGCATCTTCTGACTTTCATCTCATGCAAGAAGCTTGCTGAAATTCCTCTGAAGTTGTGCACTTCGACACATAGTGAGAGATGCAGAGTTCTTAACCCTGGTGCCTCAATGTTCAGTTCCCCAACAGATGTGCATGCATTCATGGTTAGTTTTTTCAGGCATGGAAATACAAGATGAAACTTTGCAAAATCCCCTACTTGGAAAAGCTCAACTTCCTGCAATGATTTAGAGTTTAACTGCAGAAGATGCCGAGATGGAAGACCATAAATTTGATCATTGCCATAACCAAATTTTCTCAGTCCTTTTAATTTCTTCACCGCATCTTGCAGATCGGTACACTCCATTTTTACCCTTTCTAGCAAAAGACAAGTTATGTGGTGACTGTACTTGGAAGACACAACACCTTTAATTGTGGCTACAGAATCTGCCTTGATAACTGAAAATTGCAAGCCGATTTTTTTCACTTGTGGAAAATTTTCTACTGTGTACTGCAAATCATCATGGTTGAAGAGCCCATCTGATGTTAAGGAGGCCTCCAAAAATACATTCCTGAGGGATTTTGGACATCTTAACATTCTGAGTAGCTTTTTCGACCATATCATTCCAGTTATTTCAAGGCTCGTCAAAGCTGTCAGGGAAGAAACATGAACGAGCAGCATCTCAGTGAACAATTCGTGGCATTTCTGTAGTCGAATGACTTTCAAAAGATACCCAAATCTTTTAAGAATATTTCGGAACCTCACGAGGGTTAAGTTCTCGTAGCTGCAGTTTCTGAAATTCGTCAATGTAATGTTTTGCCAAAGAGCAGGATCGGGGTTTGAAAAGATAAGTTCTCGCCACTTCTTACATACTAAACTTAGAGATAAGAGATCGTCGGAAACAGGATTTAAGTTCTTTAAAATAGCCAACCACAGTTCCGAAGGTAATGAGGTGTGAAGTGCATCTGAAAGACGGTGGTTTTCCAGCTCAAGCGAAGTCATGTTTTCAGCTGTTTTGCACACTTGCCGGGAAACTTAAGACGTTTCGTAAAAGCCAAAACAGCCGTTTCATCGTTTATCTGTAAGAAGAAGACAAACATTTTTAGCAATTACATAGAGCTGCCTTGTCACAGATTGGCTTTCCTTCGTCTTACAGACCTTTTATTCATTTTGATACCGCCATGTTTATGTAGTGGCCTCGTTTGAAAAACACTAAAAATTCACTTTCCAGGACAGGCTGAGTAGGAACTTCCATGCCGAATTTCCAGATGTTCAAATAAAACTTCTGAATTATAGAGCTTACGCCGGAACTCCTTTCCATTATTTAGAATAAATTACCAAATTTTCATATCATGTTTTACAAGAGAAATATAGGAATTCCTGTTTAAAACTTAGTATCCCCACCCTCCGTACCCTGTTTACCACCTTTTCGCGCGGCAGGCGGGAGTTCCAAACTACTGAATCCGCCATATTTTTCCTTAAACATACGTGTGAATATTTATTTGATTTCAGGGGACAATGTTTCGTTCTTCCTTCGTGGAAGATACTTCCAACCCATGGTCACCGTCTTCCACGTACATAAATGTTGGTTCCTTGCAAAATATTGTGAATTTTGCCGAAAAGACAGGCCACATTGATAGAGTAAGCGAAAGTACTTTTAACAATCTGCCTATTTTCCACGTTACCGTATGATTAAAAACAAATGTTTAGCGGCCAAAAATAACGGGAAAGAGAAGAATATTTCTATTTTCAAACTCTCATGGCTTAATTTTCACAGGAATAGATAAACCTTTTCATTTAGTTGTTGGTTTTTATGTTGCCTATCAAAAGTTTTAAGTTCATCTTATAGTTTCAATTTTACCATTTATTTTATGAGCAGAAAAACGTTGACATTGAAGGAATTCGTCGAAGAGTTGAGATGACATCTCCTTCAGTGACTTTAATTAGATTACTGAGAGAAATCACAAGACTTGGCAAAGCTCTAGACAAGGTAATTTGACTACTGACTTTACCTAAAACAGTTATTTTCAGGACTTCTCTCGTTTGGATGACCAGACTGCATGATCATGTCTTACTCCTTAGTTCAAACTAGTTACTGTACAAGTAAACTGTTGCTTTGACCTGTCTTTATAACATACCACTGGAACTCTCAGCCTGATGTGTCCTAATAACCCATAAACTCCCAGACCTGATTAACATGTACCTTCTCTCTATAATATCTATACATTATCAACCAAGCTGGTAATGAGAATACTCAAAGATGTCAGGAAGAAAGTATAATCTTGATCTAACACCAAATTCTTGTATGTAATTAACCAGAAATTAGGTAGCATCAAGATGGGAGAATTAACAATCAGATCTTGGAAGTTATAGGGTTAAACCTAAAAAGCCCCAGTGTACTCTTTGAATTTCTTTTATCACTTAAATTTTTAGGTAAATCTAGAAATTCAGTGCCATTTGAAAGATGCTGAAACAAGGGACATAACTCATGTTGATTTACTTGGTAAGTTAACTTTGACCATAACTTAAATGATTTTCTAATTTTGGTCATTAAAAGTACATCATGTACAAGATAAGGTTAAAGGTTATTGTAAGGCTTTGTAACAATTCTGCGTATATTGTGAATGCTTTATTTGCTTCATAATTTTATATGCTTTTGTTGATTGTGTAGGAAGTAAGTGTCAACAGCTAGAGCAGTTATCCAATCAGCTGTCTGCTATTATTGAGAAAAAGGATGAGCTTATTTCAAGACTGCAACAGCCTTTTGTAGGAGAATTCCTGGAAATAGATGCTGCACATCACAAGTAAGAATTCAAAGAAGCTTTCTTTTGGCTAAGGGAAATCTTGAAGGCTTCATGTTGTTAAAGTGGAGGGTCAAAATTGAAAAGACAGTCAAAAATTTACTCAGTGTGCAAAATAATTGAATCTCCCAGGCTTTGATTTGTTTGAAATTTGTCCTTTAACTTTTTGACTCGCCTAGACTCTCAAATGGTCTTGTCAAGCTTCAAAGATTTCTTGATATTCACTCTGTTCTTTCCACTGTTCATTTAATTTATTTGATACCTCAAGCTCATTACACTGTTTATTGTTTACTTCAGGAACACAGCTGAGGTTCTGCCTATGATTGCATCTAATTTAGCAAACTTTCCAACTCTGCTGGAGAACATAATGTGGATAAAGAACTTTTCACTTGCAGATGGGCAATTGGTTGGTACAATTTTTTGTCATTTAAATTCAACTTTTGGCATATTATGATTCAGATCTTTCTATTAATGCAATTTTCTTTAGTGTACATAATTCTACATCTGTTTTTTTTTTAAATCAAATTAGTGACTTGCATTCATTTGACTTGAATCTGTGTTTAAAAGTTTGATCTATGTCAGAGTTAACCTGATTTAACAGTTCAAAGTGACAGTCTTGCTACAAAAATTCTCTTCGTGTGACCTTATTTTTTTCATTATTTGTTACAGTATTTTATTTTATCAGCCATCAGAATTGGAATATTTCATGATATATGATCCTAAATTAGGGTGAAAAATCAGTATTAGCTTAAAAATTCAAAAATGTTAACTTTTTAAGCAACCTTGTACTTTGGTCACTCTATTCTTGAAGTTTTGCAACAGGCCCCACAACACTGCAATTAGTTTAAATCCTTGACTCTGTGATAAGTAATAAACTGTTGAGTGAAACAAAAACTTGCTAGTATGTTCCCAAGAAATAGGTGAAAATCTTCTTTTGAAAAGAATGTTAACTCTTTGAAATACCTCCCCATTTATGTATATTCAACCATCATCTGTTTCTAGCTTACTGTCCTGTCTCATATTGAATCATCATTTGCTGAAATTCAAAGTTTCTACCAAGCATTGTGCCAGGGTCGTAATCTCATGTCACACCTACAGGATGAACATGGCAAACAAAGGGACTTAGCATAAACAAATGAATCTGTACACTCCACTATAGAACTATGAAAAAATGGATTGAGACAATGTGGATTAACATGTATTGGTGTAAAGAATTTATTTTTGATAGAGAGCAAGTAAATAAACAGAAAATGAACCAACCCTTAATCCGTTAGGGACAACATTTAATGGGTACAAAAATGATATACATATATTGCCAGCAAACACAGCCATATATACTTCAAAAGAGTGGAGCTACTTGAAGTTTAACGTGTTTTAAACTAAAATGAGGAAAATTTTGAAATGCTTTAAATGAGCAAACAAGATAAACAAACAGACAAACAACACACTCAAAGTCTCAAGAAATTTTCTATAAGCATATAACTGGTGGCACTCGCCAGATAGACACAGTGTGATGTTTTTTCAATGACCACAAGGTACAAATAGATTCTATCATGTTTGCCTCTTATTAGCGAGAGAGATCAGGGAAAATTAAGGAACTCAGGCAGGAAGTCAGGTGTATAAATGTTCAAAATATATTAACTTATGATTGTATGCTCATTATCTGAAAATCCCAGTATTAAAACGAAATACCCTCCAAGCTACATCACGTTTTAATTTGTTCCAATCGGCTACGATTGAAGCTTCCCAAACTGCCACTGGGACGACTATGAAAAATTACATATTTCTTCCTCTTTTGATACGCCGGTTTTAACAACTGCAACGGTCCTATCAATTGGCGAAATGTCTCTATCTCAAAGGTTAATCTTTTAATTTCAAAGTATATCTTTCAAACAAAGAGAAATGAATTCTGCAAGGATGTTAATTAATCGGTTTTTGTTGATCCTTCGATGTTTCTTAACTTTTTTTGCTATGTGACCGTAATTTATTCAATAGAGGACAATAAATTGAATCTTAGAGCTCACAGATGAATTAAAATATCAAGAAATGTATTTGATTTCTTCCCTAACTTCTTCGCTACAGAAGTCAGAACATGATCTGCCTCGTGCTCAGACTTCTCTCAGCTGAAAACCCCGTGGGCGCACAAAGGAGGAAGGAAATGCGTAGTCCTCCGTGCTTCGCGCTCATCACCGGCCGCTGACACTTCGCGCTCATTCCTCTGAGTCTGCGCGGAAGTAGAGGCGTAGACTGAGTCAAACTGTTTTACTGGGTCGCCCAGAGAACGAATGCTTTGATCACGCCCGGCTAAATAAACGGCATTTTGCACGGTTGATATGAGGACTCTTGAAAACGTCCGTGCACAATGATTAAAAGATTTGTGCTGGTCCACATAGCCAAAGGAACTGCATTTACTATGGCCACCAGGGTGTGTCTTTTCCATCTTTTTCGCCAAACAGCCATGGCAGCCATGTTCTGATAATGAGTCACAATCGCAAGAGATACGCTGGTGAAAAACCACTCAATCACCAGCTGAACTGAAGTCCGAACGGTAAAAGACTGCAGCAATTCTAAAACAGACACATTTTCTAAATAGACAAATTTGTACAAGTACAAAAATCCGTTAACAGACACTATAGCAGTTGATTCATACAACATGCTCGTGATGCTAAGATCAGCCATCAATCTCTCTTGGCGAGGCGTGCGAAAACTTCCCCAAGGAGCTAATTTTCTTTTCAAAATAACATGACAAACGTGATCGATGACAACCATGGTACTTCGTTCTATGACTTCTGCTGCACCGTGAATTATTCCAAGGATGGCCATGGATTGTAAGCTCTTAAGATCAGCTTGCAAAACTCGAAGCATGACGGCTGTGCCAAGGTACAGCGGCGACAGCAATACATAGGAATATCCTGGATGTGTAATGTTCCATGATCGTTGTACATAAATTCGCGAAATGACCTTCAGTGCGACCCCAGTGAGAGGTGTGAAGACTGCTATCAATAGTTTTTCGTCTTCGTTTTGTTCGTTGAACAGTGGGTAAATGAAACCAGCTATGACAATAGCAAATACGAAACAGAAACAGCCAGGCATTATCATCTGTAAAAACAGACTCAGTCTAAGTCTCCTTGATCGGAAGCAGAAGTGCTTTGTTAAGAAGTAAACTTGCAAGCATATGCTGATAAGAAACAAAGTGTTCAGTGGAATCTTTAGGAATACGGAGAGTCTGGAATTAGATATTCCTAAAGCTTGTAGAGCCACGCGATAGAGTGCGTCTAAAAAGTAAACAAGAATTGAAACCAGAACAAGGTTTCCTTTCACTCCTAGTAACTGATGTGGCCGAAAGAGAAATAACATCCTCGCAAAGTTCCACATGTAAAGAAAAGCACATGAAATTAGTGTAGATAATGTTCTCACCCACTGCACTGAGACTGGAATTTTGTGGGGATAAAATTCACAGTTGTGGGCGGTTTTGTAACAAAGATAGGAGATTGACATGTAAAGCAAGCCGATGATGGCCGCTGTTAGCAGAGAAATCGAAGCTCCAGTGTACATTGATTTCAAAACTGTGCAAAGAGCAGATGGTCTGAGTTGCTTCCAAGACATTGCGCTGTCCTCATCTTGTCCACTTTCTTGTTTTTCTTCGATTTCGTCTGGTGAACATGCATTTATAACCAATACTTGATGGCGGCTGACTGTGAGAGGGTCAGAGGTTGTGACTTCCCTGTCGCTATATTCCTGATAAATAAACTCATCAACAGATTGATAGTCCCACTCTAGACCTGTTCTTTGTAGAGGAAGGTAGTCAAAAGACTCTGCTCTGTATTCATGTTCTTGTGGATTATAATGCACTGCCATGCCTCGCGTAAAACTGAATACGATGTGGCCAAACAGCTCTATCAGTGTTCTGTTACTCATCTTTTCTGCTCAGAGCTAATTCCGTGCGAATAGGCTAAAAAATCTTGGAAACGGATTAGTTCAAGTTGAGACTGTCGAAATATTTAAGACTTCTCTATCGAGCCGAACTTTTTTGACTAATATGCTTAACAATTGAAATCACAAGGGTCGAAAGGAAAAGTCTGGTTGGTCCTGGTTAAGAAGCCGGCAGAAACGTAAATTGGATGTATTGTTCGCCAGTTATGAATCAGGTAAGGAGAATGCCTAGAATCATATCAACTTTCAGCTGTTATTTGTTACGCTGTAAAAGGTTTCATACTTATGAGCTAAACTTGAAGGTATCGAAAGTTAGCTAAAGTTCAATACGCGATCATATCTTTAATTACTGAATTTTTATGGACACCTGTCACTTTGAGTGTCTTTTATGATCAGCAGGTAATTTAGTGTTAACAACTGGGTTTGAAAACGTAAGTTAGCCACCGTAAAGGATAAAAAAGCTGACGTTTCGAGCGTTAGCCCTTCGTCAATCGCTCTGACGAAGGGCTAACGCTAGAAACGTCAGCTTTTTTACCCTTTACGGTGGCTAATTTACGTTTTCAACCCAGTTGTTAACACCAAATTACCTGCTATACTCTCCCACCGACGCAGCACCACAGTTCCTTTAGAAACTTACCCCTTTATTCTTTTATGATCACTTTGGTAATTAAACAAAGCAGTGACTCACTTTACGTCAATGAATGAACCACTGGAGTTAAATAACATTTCTTTAGAGAATTCGTTTAGTTCCATCCTCAAATACGGGAAAACTCAACTGATTACTTAAATAGCTAAAAGATCCGAGAGAGTACAAACAGCCAAAGCCAAACGAAAACCGTTTGAAGGGTTTAAACTGAAAAATTATACATAGATAAAACTATTGCGAATTTCAAAATTTCAGTGAGAGCAGAACTGAGACTATGGTCTGCCTTGAACAAAAAACCGTCCCTGAATAATTTTGACCATTCACCTCTAAGTATACGGCAAAAATGCTTTCTTGTAAGAAAATATTACGTTGTTTTGAGTCCAAGGGAATTGCCTTTAAAGAAAGAGAACTTTACGATAACATTTTGCTCGAGAATTAAAGTAAATAGTATGAGGTGTAAATTAATCAAAAGGTGACGAGGATGGTGTAGGAACGTAAAGATGCTTACAAAAATAAATTCCAAACAAAAATAGAGAAAAAAAAACCCAAAGAAATCGTAACATATAGTCAAAAAAAGTAAAGTCTGGATATGTCGTGTAACTGCGCGCTTACTGTTTCAAGTTATACGATTGTCATGGTATGGTGTGGTCATGTGTTTCTTGCCTCGGCTCATTCTGTCCTCTAGATACCTGAGAGAGAAAAATTTTACACTGTGCACACCTTGGGAAAAATCCATGTTAAGCACACGATAGTATAAAGAAAAAACTTTCGCTCTCTCCTAGTTTCACGGTTACTTCATCATTATAATTCAATAAAGGTAGAGGTGGAGTGTTTGGCAGTTCAGCTGGCGAATGGCATTTTACAAACCTGACTAGATTCATTAAAACGTCCATGAACAACGTCTATTAAGTTCGAACTTGTTGCAAGAGCTAAAGGCACTGCATTTACCACTGCTACTAAGATATGTTTTTTCCATCTTCTTCGCCAAACAGCCATGACAGCCATATTCTGATATCGAGTTTCGATCGCTAAAGAAACGCTTGTGAAAAACCATTCAGTTATCAGGGGTATAGAGGTCCGGATAGCAAATGATTTAAGCAGCTCTAAGATGAAATAATTTTTTAAGAAAACTAATTGATATAGGTATAAAAATCCATTAACAGAGACAACAGCAGTTGATTCGTACAACATGCCCATGATGTTTATATCAGCCATTAATCTCTCACGGCGGGGAGTGCGAAAACTTCCCCAAGGTGCTGTCTTTCTTTTCCATATAACATGACAAACATGGTCAAAGAAGACTATGGTGCTTCGTTCTATGACCTCTGCAACGCCGTGAATTACACCAAGAATAGCCATGGACTGCACACTACTGAGGTCCGCCTGTAAGATTCTAAACGCAATCGCTGATGCAAAATGTAACGGCGCAAGTAAGACATACGAATATCCTGGATGTGTAATGTTGCATAACCGCTGGGCAAAGATTCGCGAGATGACCTTGAGTACAACGCCAATGAGGGGAGCAAATAAAGCGATTGAAAGTTTTCCTTCCTTGTTTTGTTCATTGTACGCTGGAAAAACGAGAAATATCATCGTCGCACTGAGAATAAAAGTAGATAGGGTGGGCAGAATCATTTGCATGAAAATAATACTCCGTTGTTTTCTGGATTTTCGTATCAGCAAATGGTTTGTTAAGAAATAGGTCTGCCAACATACACTTACGAAAAACGATGCGTCGAGAGGGGTCTTTTGTAGCGTAGAAAACGGTGAGTGAGATATTCCAAAGACTTGTAAAATTATACAGTAAATTGCATCCAAACAAAAGACAATGACACAAACTAGGATTAGTTTTCGTTTTACCCCATTTAACTGGTGAGGGCGAAATAGACTAAGTATATTAGCGAAGTACCACATGTAAGCAAAGGCACAGGTAATGATCACCGAACCTGTCCGGAGCCACTGTACTTGTATTGGAATGGACTTCTGAAATTCGCAGACGATTCCAAATTTGTAAATGAGATAAGTTATCAGTATGTACAAGGAACCTATCATGGAAGCCGTTAAAATTGAGATCAAAGCTCCAACGTACATTGATTTACCAACTGTGCGGAGTGCTGACGGTCTAAGCCGTTTCCAAGCCATTGCTCTGTCTTCTCCATATTGTTCGTCATATACAACTTCGTTTTCTTCTGGTGAGCATGCATTTATAACCCGTATTCTAAGACTGTTCGCCGCCATATAGTTCAAATTCGAGCCTTCTATATCGCTGTATTCCTGATAAATAAGCTCGTCAACAGGTAGGTAATTCCACTCCCGACCGGTACACTCTAAAGGATCATAGCCCAAAGACTCCGTTGTAAATTCTGGTTCGTCTGGATTGTAATTCTCTGCCACGCCTCGCGTAAAACTGAACACGAGTTGACCAAACAGCTCTATCA